GTTTTATTGTGATTTTATGTGACCTAAACAAAGTATATGATTCTCAGTTGAACTTTAGCTTGGACTTTAACATCAATTTGTTTGGATCTAAACCTCCATTTTCAGCTTTTAACAAGCTTTCTTTCTGTATTATACAGTATTTAGCTCCATACGTCTTTCCTTCTACTGATAATGATGCCTAATGCCCACAGCATGATGCTGCCATGTAATACTGGGAAAGTGGTGTAGGCCTGAAAGTTCAGTTTTGTTCTCACCTGGCAGAGCATTTTCTGCCACATGTTGTAAATTCTTTAATTTCTCAGTAATTTGTAACTTTGTGTATGTCTTATCACATTCATGCTTGTGAACAACATTGAATCTTGTGACTTTAGTGGATCAAATGTGAAAACGTTTATGGGTTGTGAATGCTTTTGTATGGCTCTGGAGCTTAGTCTGAACTGCTCCTATACATAGATTCAGAGATGTTTAAACCTGCTTCTTAACCAGTGAGAGGAGAAAACGTGATCACAAATAGTTCATAGTTTTTTTTTTTTACTGTTTTGGAATAATTGCTGCTCTGAGAGTGTTATTTTAGAAAATGGCAAGCTTCAAAATCTAATTATTCATCACTAAATCAGCTTATAACTATTCCAACAATCACAATTAATCAAATGAATTGTTTCAGTCCTATATAACTTCAAAACATTCCTCTTTTCTTTTTCCTTTCCTCCAGCTTGAATGAACCCAAGATGTCCGAAGCAGAGCGCCAGTTCCTAGAAGGAGAGCGAGCCGACCGCAGCTTGTTCGTCCAGGAGCTGCTGCTGTCGACGCTGATGCACGAGGAGAGCTCCTCCTCCGACGAGGACGAGCGCCGAGACTTCGCCGACTTCGGAGCCATGGGCTGCGTGGACATCATGCCTTTAGACGTGGCGCTGGAGAACCTGCAGCTCCGAGAGCGCGGCTCTTCGGGGAGGGAGCCTCCGCCGCCTCCTCTTTGATGTCCGAGCATCAAGCAGACTGTGTCCTATGTGCTGCCACTGTCAGTGAAGGGGCAGCAGACAAGCGCGGTCCTCCATGGGCCCGCCATCCTCCTTTTCTCTCTCTCTGTCTCCCTGTCTCTTTCTCTCCTTCTCTCCTCTGTCTCCTCAGTTTGTTTTTGGTGATTGTAACTTAAGGCCCGTCACCGTAACTTGTTACATTGTAAACAAAACTAAAAGAGATAAATTGGAATAAAATGTTCATATGGGGAAGGAAGCAAGAGAAGAGATTTATATAAATATAAATATATATATAAAATATATATATGAAGTTGATAATCAATCCACTTAACTTTTCTTTATCAGGTAAGTTCTGCAGGCAGCTTTGCTTCCTGTGACATATGAAGGGCCCTCCATATAAATACTCCACATTCAGAAGTCATAAGAACACAAGCCCCTCCGATGAAGCTGCTCTGTGTGTTTAATGATCATTAATAAATAAAAAGTGCTTGGATGGGTTACCATAACTTACCGCATGCAGTTATTTGCAGCGTGCATGACCTTTGATGACCCTCCCCACACCCCTGTCATCGAAATTTTGTACTTTTTGTTTTTCTTTAAAGATATCCCAAAGCTTTCGACTCTTTCAGACGGTTACTTCGAATATAGCTTAAGTAGCATACTGACTGACTTGCAGAAATCAGTTCCTTGACTGTCTTGTTAGGGGTCTTTTTTTCATCAAGTATTTCGAAATGAAGCGAAAACTGGGATCTGAAGAAAACGCTGCGGTTTGAGAATCCAGTTTGACTTTTTCTGTATTACGGCTGCAGACGGGAAAGCCAAGAATGTAAGAAAGGAGCTTTGCCTCTAGATGTTAATCTTTAGTTTGAAGATTTTAAAGCACAGTATAGTTTTTAATTTATGAACGACTTGATCCGGTGCTCCTCCGCTCCGCTCGTGTCAGACCACATGCTGTCAAAGGCTTGTTTGACTTTCGCTGGAGCTTCCTTTCTTTTTTTCCTCCCTCCGTAACTCAACTTTTTTTCTTTTTTTTTTTTTGTTTTCCGGTTGAAGCTAGCACTTTCTATTTATTTATACTTGTTTTTATGGTTTGTTTGAGCCTTGACACGGATCATGCCACCTTCATGCCTCTACTATTACCCTCTATGTAAAGAAATGTACATTAATTTTTTTTTTGCGTTAACTTTCATAATGATTCTATGACATGGGCAGACTTTTTTTTAAATGTAAATTTAGATTACAATAAATATGGCACACATCTTTTGATGGAAGTGAAAACCTCCGTTCTTTTGCACATTGTCTTTTTTCATATTCGTTTCGTTAAAAGTAATTTGGTAAAATTCCTGAACTTAGCGATGGGCTCATTAGCTTGTCATAAACCACTATTTTGAAAATGTATTTCAAATGCTTGTCGCTCAAAGATCAGAAGATCTTTTTTATTTTGTTTTTTGTAACAGTATACTAAAGCACAGCTTGTGCCTTTTAGTCTTTATGTACTTAAAAACTTTCATATATAATTTCGGCTTGGAGACAATTGAAACATTTATTTCAGTAATTGAAAAGAAAAAGTGGAGTGTATAGATGTAAAACGCAGAGGTTGGAATGAGTAGATAGCTTTTTGTTTTGTTTTGTTTTGAAGACGATAAAACGCAGCGGAGCGACAATAGCAGCTGAAGTGGCTTGTCAAATCTTTGCTGATTGTGGAAACTTCACACAGGACCTCAAACATCTTTGATTCTTCGTCTCCGCTTCCTCCAGCATTGACGTCAAAACCAAATGCAAAATTGACTTAATCTGAAAAGCTGTTGACCACAGATCAGCCCTTCTTTTTTTCTCCAGAGATGAGGCGATTCTGACTTCCATCTCTGGTTCAGGAATGGCATAATGAAAATATTTTTAGTAGTTGTTGCCCATGTTGGTAATGAATCTGTTTGTTGCGTAACCCTTGAATTTAAATCATTTTCTTCACTTGGCGCCAATTCACAACACACGTTATCTCGAGACATTTACGTACAAACTCTGCTTTATAGTTTTCTCCTCTTTGTTGTTTACATTTTTCTCTGTGGCTTTCCTTCCACTCAATTTTCCATTTACATGCTTGCATTCAGCACTCCAAAGAAACAGCCCTGCTCTGTAGAAATGTCATTGTGTTGCCCATTATCCTTCTGGGTAATATGAACACCGGTCAGTACAACTCTAGCCAGGATTATTCCCAAGGATTTACATGGGAATTAATATTTCTCTTCTGAAATCCTTTTGTAATCATGTTTTATTTTTTTGTAATTCATTTCTACAAATAAATGAACACTACCATCACCAAAACAAACACTTAAAGCACATGACTGTGCTTAATGAAGCCACACAAGTGTCAATTCATGAGCGGAGTTACTAAAAGCTTTTCACTAATACTGTACTGAGATGCACTTGCATGATTCTGGCAAAAAAAAAAAAAAACTCATTGCACACTTTTAGTCATCGGTGACGCTGGGGCTGCTTCTCTGTGTGAAATGTTAGTAAACATCAAATGCAAAAATGTTGCAGCTCAGTAAAATACCAACTTTTTCAAATATGTTCTTGTCTTTCACAAATCGTCACTGTCATTTTGGTTTGTCTTGAACGATCTTGTCACATGTCAACCCAGCATCAAGGGAGCTTTTCTGAATTCCCCTAAATGCGTATGTAATTCTTGGTAAATTAGTAAATAGATGTAATAGATATACAACAGCTATATTACTCTGAGTTTATTTAAGAACTAAGCAGTCCTATGATGTGATCTTAAAATTTTGTTGACCGACGTTCAAAAAGTACTGAAAATGCATATATAAACTGAAGCCGAAAAAGTTGTAAAATACTGATGAAAAAATATTTGGACCTCTGGATTGAGTTGGCCCAAACTAAACAATTTTAAACCAAAGAGACGCCTGCATAAAACTACAGGATCCAGTGGCTGTTTTGTCCTGGTGTGTGAGGGCCTGTGAACCAACTGGCCGTGTCACTCCTTTATAGTTATTGTTAGAAACAAATGGTGTCTGCTGGATAACTTTCATGACAACTTGGGGCAGCTGGCACTTCCTAGAAGCCCAGCACCAAAAAACAACACAGATTGAGTTTCAGCTTGAGAGGAGTCTGTAGTTCGTTAGTGATTTAGGTGGAGCTGAGATACCACCTGAAATGTGGAAAAACATTAGATAAATGTATGAGTAATGGATTTGACCCAAAAATATTGTAATTTTTAACTTTTCTTTTTTTCACTCTTGAAAGCACAGAATGGTGAGAAAAGACTCACGGGAACCAAGTTGTGACCAGGTGACTTCTAAAAGGGATTTTCTGCTGCTTTAGTGATTTGAACGATTCTGCAGAGGTTTCTCTTGACTTACTTTATGCTATGCATCACCAACAGTTTTTCTACACCCCTTAAGAGCCTGTGCATGACTGATCCTCACCGCCAAGCCAATATGAGCCTTTTCTATCACTGTGCGCCTGCTTGGAGGTTTGCTCCATATTTCTTTTTGCTTCACTGCGAGTGGCAAAAAGAGGATGGAATAATGACAAATCCACTGATCAACAGCTAGGAAGCTCAAGGTTCTGACACAATTGGTTGTCCTGGCAGAGTACTGACGCCAAACACAACTCAAAACTGACCACAAAGCAAGCGAACGCTCATCGTCTGGAACGCCCTCTCCGTGATTCCCACTGGAAAATTTTGGACCGTGCCCAAAAGAAAGGTCAGTCCAATGAAGTGTTTGACTAAAAAAACATGAAATATTAATTTTCATTTGAAACTACATTCAAACCAACATTAACATGGGGCTTAGGTGGGTTGGAAAATGACTAGAAAATGGGTGTGCTTGATTTGAAAGCACGCACTGTTTCCTCACTGTAGATTTTCTTAATAAGAAGCCCACTGTAGCATTACTCTTGTTTACAATCCACACACATACTGGCAGTGATGTGAGAATTAAAAGTCTTAAAAGTCACTTTTTTTTTTGAGTAGCACTCCTCAAACAATGAAGGACGCAAAGCTTATTGTAAGACATACCACCTTTATTAAATGCACAGTATCACAAGAAACATTTCCAGTAATTGTGGATAAACTACTCACATGATGCACAAAGCATTGAATTGATTGATAGAACTGGCTGATTAAAGCAGGATCAAATCTGCCAGGAGCGCACCACACACACACACACACACACACACACACACGCACACGCACACACACGCGCACGCCTTCACACATGCATTCAGTTTTATGTGCAAATACACACACAGTCACACCAACAAACATGAACACACGCTCACTGTATTCATAAGTAAAATTTGTTATCGTCGTCGTCTTTTTTTTTTCTTCTTTTGCCAGATATTTACAAAAAAAATTATTGACACCACCCCTAAGATAGATTACATTCAAAAAAGATCCCCACCCTTCTAGATTACATTCAAAATAATATACTATTCATGATGCAAAGTCACAGTTATTCATCTGAAAGAGGATCAAAATAGGCTACAGTCAGTCAGAGGTGGTCCGAGTAGCGGGGGTCGGGCAGAAGGAGCTCTTCAGACCCCCACCCGCCTCTGTCGGCCACGTATCAACTGGGACGCCTGCTGGCGAGGAGAAATCTGGGTGTGTGAAGAGTCTGTGCTCCTCCTGCAGACAGGCGGCCTCCCAGATAGCCTCTGCATGAGCTCCCCATCACAGTGGAGAGGAAAAGAGGACATCTTTTTTTTATTATTATTTTTTTTATTATTATTCTTTTTCAGAGAAAAAAAAATAAAACACATTGTTCAAACAACGTCCTCTGCAGATCAAAAAAAGGCCAAAAGGGAGGAGGATTGTATTCACACTGGAACGAGCACGACGGCACGTACGACGGCGCACAAATAAAATCATTATTTACATTTAGTACGTATTGCCAGTGGCCCATAACACGTTGTCTTCAATAGATGTCACACAGTTTCTGACGTACCTGCTTGGAACAGATTATACTATTAAACATAGCCTACTATTCATATAGACAGTTATCAGAACTGTACAGGATGGACAGCAGTTTATATACAGCCCAGTTTATACAGGACAGTGTATAAAAAACCCCAAAAAAGAAAAAAAAGAAAAAGCTTATTTTTTCTCGGGTTTACGGTTCAGCTCAGCCAGGCTGAAGCTTATAGCTGGAGATGAGACAAAGGGTGTTCAGTGGTAGACTAGAGGGTGGCTGCTTAGGTTGTGCATTTTGGGGCGGTGGCGGCGTGGCAGGGTTACAAAAATGCTATAAACTGCACCTGACATATAAAACTTATTGACTGACTCATTTACATATAAAAAATAACAAATTAACAAAAACATGTGGTGGATAGTTCGAAAGCACCCCAGCGTTACATTAAGCGCAGTCAGCTGCTAATTTACACTTTCTCCTGTGATTCGGGAGCATTTTACTCCGCACCCCCCTGGGCCTCCAACAGACTTCAGAGAATAATATAGTATTCTATGTCACAGACCAACACAAAGTAGTGCATAATTGCAAAGGTGGAAGAGATGGGATATTTTTAGATCTTTGCACATCTAAAAAGTGTGGCATAAATTTGCTCGAATGCCTCCAAATAAAATCTCATGCAAGAAATTCTCTTCAGTGCTCAACTAATCGGGCCTTTTTAATTTGTAAAAAGGCCCGATTGTTGCGTAATTTACCCTCAGCACAAATCCAGCATTGGACTCCTAAGCTTTTAACATGACAGATATGATGCTCTGGAGGAGGTGATTTGACAGGAAAACTATCATTTGTCAAAATGTATTAATATTTTTTTTAATTAAATTATGAAAAGGCTTTGATCTAAGTCATTAAGTCATTTATATTTAGACTTATTTATACAGGTTTTCTTTCAGGATGAATCATCAGCTCGTTTTCGTCTGTTGGAAAAACAAAACAAAAAAAAACAAACAAAAAAAAAACAATCCCACAGCATGACACTGCCACCACCACGTCTCACCGTGAAGATGGCGTGCAGTTTCTAGGAAATAAACTGTTTCGCATGTAAAGTTTCAATAGCGATGTTGAAGTGAGAGTGAATGGGGTAGATAGCCATGTGAAGATTGGCGTTGAACTGTTTTTTTTTTTTTCTTTTTACTTTTATTTGAAATTAAAATGGAAAAACATACATCTGTTTTCCTTCCACTTCATAACTATGCATTACCTTGCAGCAGTTTATCTAATAAAAATGTTGATAGCATACATTAAAGTTTGTTGTAGCAGTTCAAAATGTGAAAAGAAAAATCAAGGGGTAAGAGACATATTTGGATCCACTGGCTATAAAACTAAAGATGAGGGAATCAAAACAAGCAAAGCGAAGACTTTAAAACCGGTGAAAGACCTCAAGTGTCTTTAAGCAGCGTCCAGGAAAATCCTCTCGGCCCATCGCCTCACCTCAATCCGTCCTTTAAGAGCCCGGAAGGTTTGAAATCTGGCTCTGAAACATCATTCAGAGATGAGCCACAAAATAAAGATTTTGTTTTTTTTTTTACGCAATGGCACTGCAGGGTGAATGACAAACAAATGGAAAAACAAAAACAACCAGTTAACACACTGTGCGTCAGATAGCCCTGCTCATTAAAACCAAGCCTGAACAATTTTTCTTAATTAGAGTAAAATATGAACAGATATTCACAAAATATGTCATTTTTAATTCAGGACGTAAAATATATTTCCTTTTATTTCACAATTTTGAAATGATCTTGTTTTTTTTTTGGTTGGTTTTTTTTTTTACTTGTCTGTAAAATGTTTTTACATGTGCATGACTTAAATACCAGATTTAAATCAACTGGACTTAAAAAGTTTTATCTACATAGATGTTTCTATATATTCTCAGTCAATGAGTGCTTCTTGCTTTTTAATTTTTTTCCCCTCCCCCTTTCTTAGTAAGTATGAAAAACATTGTGGCAATGAATTCACATGATGCAGAATGACCTCTCTGCTCATTTTTGTTTTGTGTCTTTTTTTTTCTTTTTTTTTTTAGACCGTTATTTTAAGTAAAATCACATTAATCCTGAATGCATTTTCACTTCATTCCATGAAACATGCCCAGGAGATTCTGCAGATTAATAAGAAAACAAAAGCAAAACCTAAACGTTAAGGCTTCTCTTTGTGGAGTGAGGACACGGACAATTTGCATTTTACAGTCACATTTACAGCCAGATTCTGTACATAGACGTCGTCGCGCTACCTTCACTTCCAACGTCCTCTCTGCCTCCCAGCATGCTCTCCAGCACCCAAAAACCCGTCCGCATATGAAGCACACATGCACAAAAAAGCCGCACACCCAGGCGCCGGTGGATCAGCCCAGTATATCCAGGTAGACGGGGGAGGCCTTGGCCAATCTCTGGAGCATGCTGTGGATTTCCTTGATGTTGAGCCTCATGTAGGGCTCCCTCTGCCAGCAGCCCAGCATCAGGTCGTACACCTCCTTAGGACAAGTACGGGGCCGCTGCAAGACTCTGCCTTGCGTGATGCACTCAATCACCTGCGGGAGACAGCGGGACTTTATGCTGTGACAGATTTACGCAATCATAAAATGGGGTGAAATAAAAGAAAATAATTGATGTAAAACATCCAAACAACCTGGAATAGGAGTGAGCAATATGGACTTGAGCTTTATCACATTTTGTGGTACTACTTTAATAATAAAAATGACAATAAAAACGAGTTATTGCTTTTTCTTTTCTTTTTTTTTTTTTGGTGACAGCATACCAAAGCAATCATAGCCGCACAACTCGTGGAAAAGACACATTGTGTAACAATGATGTTATGGATGCTGATGTTGTTTAGGACACCAGCCACATGAAGAAGTGTTGTTTGTGTCACTGAGCTTCACACGTGCCTCCTACTTTCTAATGTATTAACATATGCATTTATATTGAGTGGAGAAAATAATGAAACTAAAAGTTTATTTTTGAGGGGCTTTAAAGTTTTTGGAATTTTTTGTGACAACGATGAGTTTAAATTCTTATTATGCTAAGAAATTTGTGGCAATAAATGACAACACAGTAAATACCCTCCCCAAACCAGGATCACAACAATTCATCTTGCGGGCCCCAAAGTGATTTAACCACTACACAGCTTGCAGTGATTCCCACACCCGTTTCACGACTCAGTTTTCTGACCCGCATGGTCTTTTCTTATGTTGGCCAAAAAGTTCCATTTTGATTTCATTTACTGGGTTTCCTACATGCTTGTAGTAAACCGCCAATATGACTTCATAAGAAACCCTGTCCTGTAAGGCTTTCATATAAAAAATGTGGATTTTGTTTTTGGGTTTAATTTGTTTCGTTTTTGATTTTTTGATTGGTTGGACCAAACCACACAATTCAATCCATTTATCGTTTTCTTTCCATTTAACATTTGGACTATTTTATGCAAGCCTATGTGTTACAATATCACACAGTCTTATGAAAATATTGTAAAGCTAGTGGGGGAAAAAGGCAAAAAGCACTTTTTTGAGGGCTATAGGGAGGACTTAGGGGGCTAGGAGGACTGCAAAGCCAACAGGAAATACATCAGTGGCCTTACAAGCTTTGCAGAGTGAGCTAAGGCTTAGTTCAGAACATTAATGCATTCAAAATCTAATGCCAGAGTTTTCTGTTTTAATGAGTTTCTATTTATTCTAAAGCTCGTCACAGCCCATAACTATGCAACTTATGCTCCTGCTGATGTGCACAAAAACCAACCTCCTGTTTTTGCAAGGTAGCATTTAAAGTTACGTTCTTATGGATCAGAAAGAAAAATCCACACAAAAAGAAACAAAGGCCCGTGGTCTGACGGCTTACATTTGCAGGTGCCTAGTTTCTTTTAGAAAATGCGTCCAAATCAAGAAAACTGACAACAATTATGCTGAGCAGTTCCACCTATAGCTCCAACTAATACTGTATTATGTACGATACTCTGTGGAGCAAACTGAAAATTGCATTACTAGAACAAAAAACATAAGCATTAACATCTTCAGTTCCTAATATAAGTCGACCTGCAACAACAGCAAATACTACAATTCCCATGATGCCTTCACTAAAGTCTTGCAATTAACTACATCGTGAGAAGTTTTAACAGCTTTAAACCTCACGTGACTGACCTCATTGTTGGAGAGTTGGTACCAGGGCTGCTTGCCGTAGGTGAAGATCTCCCACAGCACCACACCGAGACTCCACACGTCACTCTCTGTGGTGAACCTCCGATACATGATGCTCTCTGGGGGCATCCAGCGGATCGGCAGCATCGTGTGACCGCCCACCTGGGGAGATTCAGCAGCCTCCATTAGCGAGACCCCTCAGGTCAGATAAAAGGGTTTCAGTTGCTGGTTACACCATCTCTAGTTGCTTACTTATATGACAGGCGGGGACTGGAACATGACTGTAACCAATACACAACACACCAGCAAAAGGACTTTGGAAATGTATGCTATAATATTCACATTTGTAAAGAGAACTGAGAGTAACAGCACTTGACATTGTGCTGGATCCCTAACTCGTTTTGAATAACATCATTGGATATCAGTGGTAGGTGAAAGGACCTAATTAGGGTGACATATTCTTTCCTGGCCTTTCTGACTCCAGCAGAGGGCGCTGTGGGATTCAACTTAAGATGCGAGACAAAACGGAGATGGAATTAAATAAATCTATTTGCTCCTTCTAAATGTCTTTTATTTGACTCTTATCAGTCTTATGCTTATGTTCATAACTGGATGCAGTTCTCTGATGGCCATACCTGGATAATTACACATTTTGATCCTTTGTGGTTTAATATGATGTTGTTAATCTTGAGCGAGGGAATAATTTAACTTTTCACTGAAAGAAAATGAAAAACCTTCCAGGGTTCTTTTGCACTGTTGATTCTGATTACCATAGAAACTTTGCACTTTTGTAGATTATGAAAGTTGCAAATAAATAAAATATGTTAAAATTGCTATTTCTGCTGACACACACCTATCTCACCAAAGCTGGAGAAAGCAATCACTATTTGTAGCTCATATTTCTGTATTAAGCAAGATTTATGAGAACCCTTTTGAAGATTGCAAGGATGTGCAGCAGCAATAATGGACAATGAAGGGTCACATAGGAAGATGAAGAGCAAACAGCTCTCGGTTACTCACCCTATAGTAGTCTGTGCTGTAAACATCTCTCGACATGCCAAAGTCTCCTATCTTGACCAGCAGGTTTTCCCCTACCAGGCAGTTTCTTGTTGCCAAGTCTCTGTGGACAAAATGTTGGGAGGCCAAGTAGACCATGCCAGCAGCAATCTGTTGGGCAATGTGCAGCATCTGAGACTGGGTGAGCTCCACCAAGATACTGTGCTGACCGTCTGCCATGAGGACTGCATCAGGACCGTGGGACCTGCACCCAAAAACCATTGCATATTGAAAAAAGTAAAAAACTTTAAAACGTTAAGAAAGTAGCTTTTTTCTCATTTCTGAAGTTTTTTTTTTTCATTTCCTCTGTCATGATGACTTATTGTCTCCAAAGCCTCAGTTTTGATTCTAATTTATGACTATTTGAAAAGAGACTTGTAAGTGGAGCGTTCCTGTTGCAGCTCCTGACAACACATAGAACAGCATGAGAAAATTCAGGCTCCATGTTTGAGGTTGTGTGCTCTGAGATTTTAGCACATTCCAAATTTGTGGTTAGTGCGATTAGTAAATGTAAGTTCAACAATTAAAAATATATACACATGACAGACTGTGGCAGGTTGTGGCTTCTTCTTCTCTTCCTAAAAGAAAAGAAGTTTATGCTTAAGCAACTTTATAGTGATGATATAAAACCAGGCAGGCTACTGAATGCATCCATTAAACTGCCCACATGACCCACAATTGACAATGTATGAAATGGAAATTTGTGGTCGTTGCAGACACTCTTACCATAACTGTGCAGTGACCTCACCACTCAGAGTCTGACCATTCAGCCACAGTTCATTCTTTTGAAAAAAGTTCTTAGCAGACGGCTTTCTTTATGCCTTTAGTTGAGTTCAAAATCAATTCATATGATGCCTGTTATGTTACTGAGACCTTTTAATGCTTTTATGAGTCAAATGTTACGATCAGAAAACTATTTAGATGTCAGCACATTAACTTGATCTTATTGTGCTAGTTGTAAGCTTTTGAACTGATGTGTGCTTCATTCATTATTACGCTCAGCTTTGAACGGTGATTTATTGTGTTTTACGCACTAGTTTTGCACTTTTGCCAAACGAATATGTAAAACTTAAATGGTCTTCTTCTCCAGTCAAGATATTTCATCAACAGAGATGTGTTTTGGAACTAACATATAGTTAATATAATTGAGCACAGCCGCTAAAGTTGAAGGAGGCGTTAATGTCCAACAGGCAAAGATTAAACAACTTTTCCAAAACGAGTTTGTCATTTCATTGGAAGACGATCTCACCTGAGGAACTTGTTCAGGTCTCCGTGTTTCATGTACTCAAAAACCATGATGAGAGGGTCGCTCTCCACACACACGCCGTAGAAGGTGACGATGTGCTCGTGCTGCAGGTTGGTGAGAAGCTCCGCCTCTCTGTAGAAGTCTGCGCGAGCGCTTTCAGTGCCCTCCTTCAAAGTCTGAGAGACACAAATAGGCAGGATGAACAGGAGCGCACGTCCAATGGAAACTGTTCCCCAGTGTTTTTGAAGACGGAGCTTCCCAGTCAGTACCTTGACGGCCACATGGATCTTCTCATGGTCTGGCACCAGTTTGTAGCACTCGGCAAGAAAGACTTTCCCGAAGGCTCCTTCTCCCAGCTCCCGCTTCAGCACAATATTGTGCCTCTTGATGTGCTGCACAACTTTAATACAAAACAAGTCACATTACTCACAAGGTATTTTGAGAAAAAAATATTTCAACTTTATACTGTCTGGAATTTGATCAATTGAAGATATGCTTTTGTTGCTTTTCATAGATATGCGTGTTCATTATGCACCACTTTTTTATAGAAAATGAAAATTCCAAATGTCAAAGTAAGTTGCATTACTTAAATTCTTATAGACTTCTCAAGAAGTGTTGGCCCTTCAAAGCTGCTTTGCTAGACAAGCTAACTCTCGACATCCATCATGCCCTTAGTTTTAGAAACTCCAGATTCTAACCGTTTACGCTTTTAATACATGACAGTGTTTTTAATTACAAAATACACTCTAATGAAGAGAATAGTTCTTTGAAAACTGGGGATCAGCAAAGAACTAAGACACTTCAAATCTGTAGGTTTCCAATAAAACAAAAAGTTTGTGTTTCTGAGTATCTTTTATGAGCTTTCCGATTAGCTCCTGAAGAAGGACGTCACTGCCGCGGCACAGTAGGAATCTGCTGATAAATATGGCGCCTATAGCAATGATCCCTGCATGGATTTATCAGAAAAAAATCCCAGGTTGCCCGGCGTTTATCAAGAGCGGCGGTAACTCACACGTGTCAGCTTTCAGCATGCTGCCGGAGTTGCGGAAGTACTGCGGGTTCTCAATGACAGGAATCTTTGTCATCCCAATGATCACTGCATCTGGACCCATCTCTGAGGACGATGGGGTGTTGTTGCCATTGGAGACGTGATGAAGAGGACTGGCGGAGTCATCGTCATTGCTGATTACCGAGGAGGAGCCTAGGGACCCACGGAGAGGGGAAAAAGAAGGAGGTGGAGGTGGTGGCAGTCAGGAAACAGGAGAAGGAGAGATGGGCAGACAAGAAGGTGAAGGAGGAAGAGAAGATGGAAAGAGGAGAAGAGTGGTTAACAGGGTGGATGGATGCTGATGGTATGTTTAATACCCTATATCAGGTTTCTGAAAATTGTGGGAGAAATGTTGGAGTAACAGAGGAAGTTAATAATATATGATTCTATACATGAAATAGCCATATCAGTATTTGTATATGTTATGGATTTCTTAATAACTAGCAATGGTAGTGGGCATTTTGAAAATAACATTTGTAGACAACGCTTACCCTTAAAAGCGAAATAGCCCTGTTTACTCTGTTTAGTCTAAAGGTGACAGAACATTTGGTCACATTACAAGCATAAATTGTGGTGTAATAAATTTCTATTTCATGTGAAAACAAAAGCAAGGAGCTCATAATTGTGAAGTGAACAAAATATTATGCTTTTTTTTTCAATTCAATTCATTTTGCTTTGCACACAGGTCTGAAAAGGGTGGCTTGCATTTGTGTGAACCCCCTTTACTTTGTTAGTCCTAATTAAAATAAAATCCAATCTAATCACATATCTGCTTAAATTGCTTCATTTATAAAGGCATCACACATTATTAATCATATCACTTTTGTGATATGATTCTCTGTGCAATCCTGAAAAAACTTAACTAGCTGAACTTTAGGAAGGGCTTACAGGGGCCACAGCCCCAAGTCAGAGGAGGGTCCTAAAGATTTTGTTGCTTTCTTTTTAATCCATGCATGCTTTGCAAATGTTATACTCTATGCAAAACTCATTGCATTCAACATATTTTAATGCTGTTTTGTTTTTGTTAATATAAATAATACTTAAGTATTTAAAGTTATCATACATATTTTTTGGGACAAAGTGAAGCCATCTGATGAATGGTCGGTTTAAGCTTTAAGCAGACCATGCATCAGTTCTTACCAGCTGATGCGTAGCCCTACATATCAATGTACTGTAATTTGCAAGAGTAAAAGAAATATTTTGTGGTTAGGGGTCTAAAACAGGCTCTAGCCCAGGGGGGTCACACCTTTCTAAATCTGGCCCTGTTTAGCTGGAGCTGTTTTACAAAGAATCGACAAATTTGGAAATATGCAAAACAGGGAGAGACGTACCCCAAAAGACTTGCAGCTTTAACTTCTGCAACAAATGTTTCTAGGACAACAGTTTAGTACGGTTTTGTTTATTTTATCTTCTCTGTAGAATTATGAGTATAATCTTAAGTCTCCTAATTTATGCAAAAAAAAAAAAAAATTACTTTACCTTTAATACCAAAGTTTGAGTTTCTTCCATATTTCAAAATGATGACCATGAGGACGCAGCCAGTCAGGGCAACACCGGCAATTCCCACAACGACATACACCTGAAAATGAATAAAGGAGAGAATGTGATTCCAGAAAGAAGCCAAAACTAAACTGCAAAAATCAAAATAAATAAATTACTGAGATCTCTGGTAATCATGTTTTGTTATTATTATTATTATTATTATTATTATTATTATTATTATTATTATTATTATTATTATTATTATTATTATTTAATCTATTGTAACAGTCTAATTTTACACAGAAAAATAGAACATCTGAAATGTGTCTAGCAAAATAGAAACAAGTGACTTTAGTAAAGTCACTTGTGGTGCAATTATTAGTACAGCTAAGTTTCAAGGTTTGTATAACTCCCCTTTTTGGGCAAAAAATTAATTTATAGGTCTTGACTAAAGTCAGGAGACTAGAGAAATGTATTACCAACCAGTTCCACAATCTCTATGGTAGTCCATAGACCTGAGTCTATACCTTAACACGCAATTTAGGTCTTGGCATTGAGATTAGGTGGCGGCCACCTTTCTGTGCAAGTTCTGTGCGTCATGAGCAATTTTTATGCTAATGAAGCAATATGTACTGGATCATTACTTAGCTGAAGGCCCACATGAGACACATAATTCAGTTTACTGGACAATATATTAGTTTAAAACATCCTGTTTAATGTTTTTGAAGCTATGCACTGCATCACTATCTCCAGGGCCGCAGGCCCCAAAGCATCACTGATCCCTATTCACTTGAAATTTTTTGCACTTCTATATCAGCAAATTTGTAAGACATTGTAAATTTAATTTACGTCATTGAAACCAAAATGAAATAAACAGCAAATATGGTTTGTAAAAAGTTACACATGGCTAGGAATATTTAGGATTACTTACTGCAACACTGTCGTCCAGAGGCGGTGGATCTGGATAAGTATATATGTGATCTGTCAAATCAGAGTTATTCATATTTGGAAATATTTTGCAGTTCTTACTGGTCTGTGCAGTATTATATTGTGTGAAACTACATATAAAGTCTGGAAAAACTAAAGAACTTACCATCTGAGCAGAAGATGCAGATGCAGGGGGAAAGGAGAAAAGAAAAAAAAAAGATGAAAATCAGTAGATTTTTAACAGCTTTCTTGTGCTTCATTTCTTGTTCGGCAGACGGAAATGTTTAAGATCCCCAAAATAATCCTCTTTTATCATACAAAGATATAGGAAGACATTCATGCATGAAAGTGGCAAAGAAGCCACACTGTCATCGTCATGTTCAACTTTGTCAAAAATATCAACCACCTTAAATGCTGTAAAGTTGGCCTGATCCAATGGAACGTATGTCTTTTGAAAAAAAAAATTAATTTTTATCCCCAGAATAGTTTTCAAAAGTCTTAGGATTGTTGGTGGACTCATGTGAGGTGGGCCTTAGACATCAGCGGTCTCCCATAAATAAAACCTTTCAAGAGGTTTGTTTTTTTGTTGTTGTTTCTTTTTATATTGTTGAATCAAAAATGTTTAAATTCAATTGTAAGACATTGGCCTTATAGGAAATATAGAACAGAAAGATGACAATAATATCTATCTTATTATTTAAATGTAATTGAAATAAATCACCTTCCCAAAAAATATTTTTTGCCAAAAGTTATATTTTTTGTCTAATTTACCTTTTAGCATAGAAGAGGTGGCAATTTTATTTATTTTCTTTATCTATTTATTTATTTATTTATTTTTGCCAAAATGACTTAGGCTAGGCTATCATTTTAGCAAGGTGACAAAATCAAGAAATCAGTGAGGGGGCTAATACTTTTTCAGGGCAATCGAGTCATAAAACATAAGTATTACTTACAATAATCTGGGTTTTCTGTAAATAAAAGAATGAAAAACAAATAAATTTGTTATAATAATAACATGTCATGTTTGTTACATATAAAAACCCCACTCAGTTACCAAACTTAGTCACAATTAACACAGCCAGAGAATAAAAGACATACAACTGAAACAGTTGCACTTCTGCAATTTGAATGGAGTTGAATCTATCATGCTTAAAATCATGCTCTAAAGATAACTTGATTTGGAAACAGGAAGCAAACTGACCTGTAATGTTTGGTGGATCAAGAAACTGGGCGGTGACTGTCTTTTCGTCCCGACCATACTCGTTCCTTGCCACAAGCTTGTATTCGCCGTTGTGGATGTGAGTGGGATTGGCGAGCTGCAGGCAGCCGTGGTCCTCGTTCTCAGTGGACTCGTGGATCATGGTGCGGATGAAGTCTTGCTCCTGGAGAAGCACTTTCTTATGATACCACAACAGCTTAGGTTTGGGGTTCCCCGTCACGGTGAATGGGATGCACCACTGGTGGGCCTGTTCTGGAGCCAACAGCTGCTCGATTCTAGGGGGAACTAAGATGGAGGCAACAGGAGAAGAAGAGCGGTCACAGGGAACAGCAGGAGATAAACAGTAAGAGCAAAGGTGAAGTAAAAAACCTTAATTGTGCAGAGGAGAGGTGCAGGTTGGAAAAATAACTGTGAGGGGAGCATAAACCTAAAGAAAAAGTATGCATTCCAACTCTGAAGACAGAAAAACATGGCAGAGGATAATGTATAATCGGATGTTAAACAAGCAAAGGCACATGGTCAGACATGAGCAGCCTTACAGGAAGAAGAGTTATGGACAGGAAACATGGAAAGTCAATAAGATTTTCCAGGAGACACTAATGAAAACAAACCGAGAAGCCTTCGGCTTCCACAAGAAAAACACGGTTTAGGAGAAAGTATTTAAATGCTCAGCACACATAGGAAATTAGATCAAATTAAACGTAAATAAAATAGGATTTCTAGAGATGTAGGCCATATTTGAAGTCCTTACAGAGAATATTGAGCTGAAGGGTGGCTTCAATTTGACCAACTATGTTCTCGGCGCTGCATACGATCACCCTGCCGTTGTCATCAGGAGACAGACCTGACAAGATGAGGGTGCTTTTTGTTTCCAAAGGGTCGATCTGAAAAGACAAGATCATTAGAGCAATTACAGATTCTGCGTATGGACCTACGAGCCTGGTGAGATATTTATATAAACAAAAAACAACAACTTATGTCACTCATAGTATGTGTAACGGTAGTATGTAATTTATCTACAATATAATAGTAACTGCGGATCATTGCAGTTTCTAAATAATGCTAATCAATTACAGTTATTTGCAATTTACCGTACATCTAACTTTATTCTGGAAAAATTAACAAATTAGTGTCTTTTTTTCCTTCCCTTAAAAACTTCCCAATCCCAAATCATAGCTAATGTCATGTTAAATCACTCTTTTCAGCTAACAGCTACAACTCAGATGGGAATGTGTTCTTCTAGTTGTAGGAGTATGGGGACCATAATTCAACAAGAGCATCTGTGAGGTCAGACACTGATGTTGGACTGATGTCCAACATCAGTCCAATTGGAGTAGTCTCTACTCCAATTCCTCTCAAAGGCATTGATTTGGGCAGGGGTCAGGATTTGTGGAGACCAGTTAGTTGTCCTCGCAACTGCTAAACACAACCCGACAGACCAAGAGCAGTAATTCATCACTGCAAAGATTATGTTCCCACAGCAAGACTTCTGATTAAAACTAAAAAGAGTCATCACAATTCTCCTACTTCAGCTTCTCTTCATTTGCTCCCTGTTAAATTCAGAAAATAATTTAAGATTCTCCTCCTTGCTCATTAAACCTTAAATAATCAAACTCTGTCATGTGTCAGAGATTTGATCGTTCCATCAAAAGAGAACTTTGCTGTCAGACTCCAATTTTACTGCTGATTCCTAGAACTTCAAGAAGTAAAATGGGAGGTGGATCTTTTAGTTATCAGGCGCTACTGGAACCAGCTCCCAGCTTTAGTCTGTGAGGCAGACATCCTGTCTGCTTTTAAAACGAGGTTGAAAACTTTCCTTTTTCATAAAACTGACAGTTAGACTACACTGTGCAAAAAAATAAAAAATATTACTCTAAATTACGATAAAATACTGACAGCTGTGGTAGCCAGAATTTTGCTGTAAAATTCTGGCCATCATAGAATTTCTCCATATAAATCTGGATCTTGCCATATCTATATTGTGAAGAGCTGGCAACCACAGCTGCCAATGTTTCATTGTAAATTAGATGCTCTTTTTTTAGAGTGTAGATTAGGATATCTTGAGCTATTTTTGTAGCTATATGGCTGTAGGCTCAGGCTACTAGAGGACAAACTGATGACTTTTCCTCACTTTCTTCTTCAACTACTCTCCAGTGTGCATTATTTGCTATTATTTCAACAGTGAACTTTTTCCTTTCTCTCAAAAACTCGCAAAGTCAAGTTTTCTTCTAGTACTTCGGCTGCTTCTCACAGATTCTCCTACTTTTATTTGAGTGCATGGTCTGTTGTGTTGTATGATAGACTGCAGTCATTTGGGCTTAGCTTATTTAAATAGACTTGAAGGTAAACCATCTCACCTCATAGTGGGTTGAGAGCATATCAAGGGTCCACAGGATGTCAGGCACAGGGGAGCCTGAGGCACTGCACACAACTTTGACATCACGCCCCTCCCTTACAGTCACATTTTTGGGGGTCAACTCTACTTTGGGAACCACTGCAAGTAACAAACAAAATGTGGCAATATGCGTGAATATCGTCTCTGGTTTTAAACTGCTGCTTTACGTCTTCACAAAAGCAGACATAATCAGCCTGAGAAAACCAGCAACGCTTCACATTACCACAGTCTGGAGGAGTGAGTGTGGCAAAGTCCCTTGTCTCTCCCCTTTCATCGGTACATGTCAGCTCTGGACCGTCTATGTCTTCTTGGAGTCTGAGCTTGATCCACAAGTTTTCACAAACACAATCCAGAGGGTTTCCAGATAGAAGAAGCCTTGAAACGAAGCAAACAAACAAACGCAAGGAAGATTTTAAGGAGAAAAAAGGGGATGTTGGACTACTGACAGTTTGACGCACACGTGTCAACTTACGGAAATGTACTGTTGAAGTTCTGAAATGTTCTCCATGACAGCATGGAGAGGTTGTTATCTCTGAGATTTCTAAGAAAAAAGAAATAGCAACAAAAACTGTATAAAGTCAGCACGGGGAAAAGGTGTGATAAAATAACTTTACCGTAAGATGCTGCTTACACATATTGAAGTCTTGTGTTGTTATAAAATGCATCCTTGGATATGTATGTTAATCTTGTCCTTGTGACCGTTCTGTTGGAAGTTACAGTGTACATTTATTTAGTTTAAATTAGCTTAATGTCTAACCGAGCACAAATCGGTGGGATACTTACAGATTTCTGAGGTTTATGTAGTGCCTCAAACTGCTGTCACTTATGTTAATCAATCTGTTTTGATTGGCAACGTGTCTGTGAAAAGAAATGAAACCAGATGTTAGACTTGTTACAATGCACCTTTTCATGTAAAATGATCATATTATACTTGCTACATCAAGTATTGAGGCAGATAAAGTTGATTTATGTTTTATTTTAGAGAATGGCAAAATTTTGTTCTCAAAATGTGGATATTTTGTCTCAAGCGTTCTGTTTTCGGTTTCTTATAACATGTATGATTTTTTTTTTACATGTAATTCAAGGACTCTGATCTCAGGGCTGTGCAGTGGAGCAGCTGGTAACACTTTCCTCACTACAAGGAGGTTGTGGGTTCAAATTCAGGTCTAGGGTCTTTCTAAATATAGTTTGCATGCTCCTTTTCTCTCCCCACCACACATGCATCTTTTCACTCTGGGTACTTTTTCCTACAGTCCAAGAAACATGGAAGCTAATTGATTTCTCTAAAGTTGTCCTTAGGTATATGAGTGCTTGTGTGAATGGTTGTTTATCCTGTGTGTCTGTTGCTCTATGATAGACTGCCAACCTGTCCTGGGAGTACCATCTACGACTGCTGGAGATAAGCACCAACTCCCCCAAAACTCTGAAAGGATGAGCGGTTATAGATGGATGGGACTTGGTTTTGCAGCATACCAATTCAGAAATCCATGGCATTTTCTTAACATCACTCCTGACATGCTTTATTTAAGTTTTGAAGAAAGAAATTACTATAAACGATCATCTTCTGAACTGACATTCATCCATTTTTCTATACCTGTTTAACTTGTGGGGTCTTTGTTGGGGCTGGTGCCAATATGCTCAGGGTTCATTGGGTGAGAGGTTACAGATTTTCAGTACATCACATAGGAACAGAGACGCAGGACACAGAAGAAACATCCCTGCATGCAAACATTTTCATACCTAAGTGAAATTTAGAGAAGCAAATGAAACTACCAAAAAAAAAGAAATCTGCACATGTACAGGAGAACATGCAAACTCCATGCAGAAAGACCCCAGGTCAGGATTACACCCCAGCTTCTTCCTGCAAGGCAACAGTGCTCCCAACTGCACCACCACGCAGGTCAGGAAGTTGTTTAAAAATGAAATTATACTTAAATAAATAAAGCAGAGGTATGCGATTTGAGGGAAAAAATGAAAACAGAAAACATTAGGGTAGGCTTTGCTATTTTGAAATCCAAGCAATTTCCCATAGGGGTATTTGTTGTGTAACTATTTGTGTTTAAATGACAGTGGTTTGTTTTGAACTATGTCCAAATAACATACCCTATAAAATGTTGATTTTTTTTTTTGTCTCTTTAGTACAAATGATTATGCTGTTGGGAATTTGGAAGGAATGTTGAATAGTTTTCACCAAATATGGTGACCCAATTTGTAAGTGTGGAAAAGTCACTAAAAGGAAGCAGAAAAAACTGAAAATGTTCACCTGATTCGACTTAGATTAACTTCTTTCGTAGTATAAAAAATGAGAAATGATGGGACGGTAAAATGATTCAGCATAATAACTTTTATATCAATTTCAGTTTAGTTCACTCTAGAGTGAGATTCTTCACTTTAGGTGACATTACCCTTCCACCTACTACAGGTATATAGTTAGCACGAGCTAGCGCTGGTTTTCTTCAAAATTAACACTTTGATCAAAGAAGCGACTGTAAAGTCAGTACAGACTGGCAATTATTTTGTGTTATATAATAGATTTTGACTTTGACAACCAAATTTATCCACAAAGTCACAGGCAGTGTGAGGCCGTAGTCTTCAACCAACTTTCAAGAGACATGTCAGCAGTAGTAATTCTACAGCTGCAATTATTTTTAAGATTTACTTTTTATTTACAATTGCAAGTTGAAATTTCAATCATTTCTATTGAGACCAGTCAGTAAACACACTCACATTGTAAACATAGCATTTGCTTTCTTAATATGTTTTTCTGTTATTACTTTGATGGACAAAGACAGGGATTTTGGGGGAGAAATTTTGGCTCAACAAAACTGTGTTTGATATACCTGAAGATCCCCATAATTGTTCAAAAACGACCAAATCAGTACCAATTAATAATCCAACAATCAATTAATTTGACCCGTAGACCCATTCTTAATTGGAATGAGTTGAAGTCATATTTCTGTGAAAAACTGGATGCCGTTTTTACCTCAGTTTCATAATTGAATGATGCTTAATTTGAAAAATAAAGTAAGCATGATACCACGTTATTCTTTGGATAACATTTATCTGTAACAAACATTGTTTGGGATACATAATATGACTATTAATGAAGTCACTGATATTTACTCTATCAAAATCAGACATAATGTATTAAAGATCATTTGAAGAAAGCTTAATACAAGTATAAAAAATTTTATTTTTTAAAGAAACATCTTTATGGTTTTAGTTTCACATTTCACTGCATTCAGTGTTAACAGAACAACGTAATTACACCAGGATGTTACCCTGTAAAATATGATACCCATGTTCATTTCTGAACTAGACCTGGTGTTTGTATCACTTCAAAGTACCAATCATCTCTCATATAAGTTCATTTGAGACCTTTAATGCAAAGATAAACTAAAAGTGCAAATCGCTTATTCAACTCAGCAGTGTTAGAAGCATGTTGACTATGAATTTTGAGCACAAACCGTTTGTCAGAAAGTCTTATCTTAGTTAAATTGTCTTATAACGAGATTATGACTTTATTTTATTTGAATCTGAGAATTGTCGGTGAAGATGCTTTCTAAAACGATACAAATTAGTTTCACCCCAAATATCATTTGTGTAGAGAAAGTATTTCTTCTCAATTTTTTCTTAGCCTTACTATTAGATGTTTCCCAGAATCAATTTGACAGGAAACCTCACCCAGTATTTTGGTTGAAACCACAACTCAATCTTGTTAAGTCTACCAAGGCCTGGATTGGTCCACATTTGACCCACTTCAAGGTTGGCACCATTACCCTAATTGGCAGAGCTGGCTCAAGCAGAAGTAATTTAGCTTCCACCCTCAGGAAAAATTTATTTGCTTTTGCAAACTAAAAACACTGCAGGTAGAAGACAAACTCATGACCTTAGAGGTTAGATATTGGTTGTCTACAGTGAGAGTCAGAGGGAGAGGGCCTCCAAATCAAATTCTGCCTACGGGCCTGTAACAAGTTTTGGCCAGCCCTGGACATTGTCCATTTCTCAGCCACAGTGTACGGATGAGATTTTGTTTGTAAGTTAATAAACGGCATCCATTACAATGCAGTCTAAATAATAAAGTAGCTTAAACGATTAACTAATGCAATATATGTTACGTTTAAAATTTGATTTGCCTGCTTTTGCAAGTGTAGAAATGTTGCAAATCGTTGGTTGCTTCAACAGTTTTGGGGGCTTTTTTCGCCCCCGGTTGCATATGTAGCCGGGGCATTATGTCCATTATGCGCTGTTCCGTTTGCCCATATAAGGAAGACGCTGTGTTGGAGCGCAGCTGATTCATTACGGAGACAGGTAATTGGCATTTACATCTAAAAGCGGGTAGATCGCTGAGAGGGTCAGAGTCCAGGCTGATTCCTCTACAGGTACGGTTAACATGAAGCATGCGCTGGGTTCAGAATTATCTCCGATGCCTCCATCTTATTGTTGCAGGAAACTTGCTCTTGGAGAGGACATACAGAGCTCTGTTAACTTTTAGAGAAGGTAAAGGCAGTTTATTATTAATTGGTATTTAAAGTATCTGTCTAATTCTATTCTCTGTTGTGTGCAGGTTGGCCTGCTGCTGTTTCAGTTTTAGTTTGTTTTGGTTTCAGTGTTGCATTAGTTTAGAATTTATGTTTCGGATATTTATTGATTAAATTCTTTATTCTTTTGGGGGCTTGTTGTCTAAGGAAGGGAGTTTTTATTGTCCAGCTGTCCAGGCTGCCCCTGGTTCCAAGCAGTTTAGATTGAGGAGACTAGTGGAAGGGGAGTTTCTCTTTTTTTTTGTTTTTGTTTTATTCACTAGGGAGTCTTTCTTTTGTTGTGTGAGTGTGTTTTTGTTTGGGAACACGTAGGTGTATTCAGTTACATTTGGGTTTTTACTATTATTTCTCCCTCAAGCAGTCTGATTGTATTTAATCAGAGTAACTGGTTGACAGATGTAAGGTTTTCAGGGCCAGCACAGATTTAAGGTTTAATAAAATGAACTGACTATTTATGCCTAAGGGTTATCGTGAGTTAAATAAACTGTGGTTAATTTCCATCAGTGCTTCTGATTATTTTTTTTTACAAACTTATGTGTGATCTGGTAAAAAGACAACACCAGAGAATTGAAGGTTCTTCACACATAACTAAAGTCGTAACCCAGGTCACACATACATAAGCGAAGAAGTCATTGCCCCACAAAAGGCGCCAGTTGAATAACATCCATGATGGCTCCAGCGCGTCTGCCTCAGAAAAACTAAACCCAGTCTCCACTACTCTGTGCAGCTGTACGCTGTGTGGACTTCTGCAGCGTTGTAACAGACACACTCACAGGCCTACACACTGACGCAGATAAGGGCGCACAACTCTCTGCAGCTTATTGCCAGCTGTACACAACTGATATGATCTCATGTGTAATATGTCAACAGTGTGGGCATTTTGAAATATTGAGGATATCTCCCCCACGCCCACTACAAACCCCCCACCCCCCCAGAAAAAAATAATATATATTTTTTTCTTTTCTAAAAGAGAGGCAGAGTGAAGACCCTGGAGGCTCCGCTGCTTGGCCTGAGCGTTCAATCCAGCGCTCTTTACCTCTGGAGGAAAACACACTAATCCAAAATAAGCATGACGCGCACTCGCACCGCCTTTACGCACACGTACACGCACGCGCGACCACTATCTCATGCACTCCACACACTAATATGAACACACACACACACACGCACACACACACACACACACACACATATATATATATATATATATATATATATATATATATATATATATATATATAATATATATATATATATATATATATATATATATATATATATATATATATATATATATATGTCTTTATTATGATAGCCGCCAGGGTTTTAATGGTATAAGCACTTTGTCGTTATTAACACTATGCACCCTTGATGTTTGGTGTCACTGCCACCTATACTGAGGGTTTGAGCTTCTGCTTCGTAAGTTAACAAGATCGTTTATGTGCACACACTTACATCTCGGTGATGTTTTCCATGTCATCCAGCGTAAGGACAGGGAAATCCTCGATCCCTGGTTCGGGGTCGTTACAAACAATCCGTGAGATGCTGCAAGTGCAGGATTCGGGGCAATAGGCATCGCCGGATCTCCACAGCCCCATCACAAGCACAAACAATCCAAAACGAGCCATGCCATGTTTCCCCACGCTGGAGTCCATCGTGGGGCCAGTGAATGTATCCCACGAATCCCCCACGACAGAACGGAATCTGGTCGAGCTGAATTATTGGCGTTTCTTCACTTGCCGCCTTTTATCTTGGCCAAGTTAATCCTTCCGATTCTGCAGAATGAGAGGTAGGGGAGGGAAAAAAAAGAGGAAAAGAAGAAGAAGGAAAAAAAAAAAAAAACAAGACTGTGCTGTAGGTCGGGAATGCGTAGAGCCCACGTTTTTAATACCAAGATGCCATGGACTGGCCTTCTCCGTCTCCGCAGAGCTGATATCACGCTACTGCATTTCGATGCCGTGAAGAAAGGTGTCAAGTGCTCCGTCCTGCTGCTGCTATTGCTGCCGCCGCCGCCGCCGCCGCTGTTGCTGTCTCACTCCTCCTTTTTGCGGCCACTGACTGCCTTATAAAACAAATATGAGCCGCTCCAGATGTTCGGAGATCAATAGGCAAGGAACCCCGTGTGCGTATGTGCGCCGATGGGGAGGAAAGCTGCACGGCGGAGTAAAGAGATGCGTGGTGATGCTGCGTGTGTAGGGGAGGAAGGCTACCTGCATCCGTCTATCGATCATCACCGAGGACGGGCGCAGCTCCGAGCCATCTCACACGGGGGGTGGGGAGGGTGTGGGGAGGTGGTTGCGATGGTGATTTTATGTCTGAGTTAGATGCTGGTGAAATAATCTTATTAGAGAAGCGTAAATTGAATAATGATGATAATAATAATAATAATAATAATAATAATAATAATAATAATAATAATAATAATAATAATAATATAATTATATTATATATTATTATATTATTATTATTATTATTATTATTATTATTATTATTATTTATTTTTTTAAATTGCGTTCAGAAACTCAGTACCAACTGTCGCAGCTTTATCCCTACAGGCTGCTAGGAACACTGAGTGGCCAGCTTTGGGTCAAAGGGCCCACCCGTCAACAACGACACGGATACAAACTCTACTGTCGTGGTTACTTTGAAGCAATGCGATGGATGAAAGCTGAGCCTTTTCCATAACAACGCTGTTGTACGGCTGCCCATTAGGCCTGGTGTGACGTGCGGGTGACGCACAAGTCGGGGTGCATCTATGAAAAATAATTACCTGTACTATGTCTCCAAACTTCAAATAGGCCTCGCACCAATCACTGAACGGAGCACGGATGGATGTCTGCTATTTTGTTCCTCACTGTCTGAGCACCAGCTTTAGTGCAGCTTCTTACTTTTTGCACGTCTTGTTAGAGACAAAAAGAAAAAAAAAAGGTGATTTAAGATCTCAGAAACTTGACCTGCTGAGCACATGTGCATCTCGGTGAATCAGAATTAAATTGAAATGTTCTGTTATTCCAATAATCTCATTTAAAGCGTGAAACACACTTGCTTTTTTTAGATACATAGGAGGAAGAACGCATTTAGGCACCACGAGGTGTTGCTTCAATTCAAATTGAGCATCAAAATGAGGAGAAAAGGAGATTTAAGCAACTTTGAAGGCGTTATGTTTGGTGGTGCTTTATGTGCTGGTCTGAGTATTTTAGAACTTGCTGACTTGTTTGGTCTCTTTTGCTCTCAGTCATTTCTTAGGTTAACAGGAAATGTTTGACACTCGTTACCAAGACATGCATTTCATGGACAGCATGTCAAACCCTGCAGCACTTCAGCTAAAGATGCAGAAGGCCACACCGTCTGCTCTGGACACAATGACCAAATTTGGACAAAAAACAATAATTTGCATAAACATTTCCTGGTCCAATGAGTCTTAATTTCAATTGCAGTATTCAGAATTTTGGTATAAACAACATAGAATAAGACATAAGGTATTGATCTATCATATCTGGCAGTACAGGTTCAATATTGTGAGGGATTTCCTTGAGACACTTTGGTGCGTTTCTCCAATTTGAAAATCACTTAAACACCACAGTCTTACTAAATATTGTTATGTCAATAGCTTTATGACCTGTCCTCTGCTGACTATACTTCCAGAAGCATAACACACTGTGCCACACAGCATAAATAATAAGTTTGGTGCTGAGTTTACTTTATTTATCTATATTTTATAGAGATCTTAATCTAGTAGGGAACATTGGGGATGTGGTTGAATAGGAGAATTACTTCATGAATGTTTAGCTGACAAACTTGTTTCAACTGCTTAATGCCATCATATCAAAATGAATCAAAATCTCTTCAATATTTTTTTGTATATTCATTGTTGAATCTATGCCACAAAGAATAAAGGCAATGTCATACGCTCAAGGGAAGGTAGAAATGTGTTTCTAGTGAAGTGTACTTCAAGCACTTCGTTTGGGCCAAATAACAAACTCTTCTTCAGTTTGTCCAAAAATTGGAATATTGTGTAAAGAGGTATTTTTAACACATTTATGTTTCTCCATACTGAAAAGTGCAATAGGACACTTTATTGTTGACCAAGTTGTTTTTAGCAAAAGACCATTTCGGGACAAGAAAGAAACTTAGCCTTAGGTAAACACAAATGACCCGTCCCCTGCTGTGCTACACTTAAATCAATTGTATAAAACAGCATATTTCTACTTTGCTAAACTACCAGCTTGTCACTTTAGTCTGACAAAAGTTTGACCCATCCCTAATTATCAGCTGTGAAATGTTAGAGAGGTTAGATCTGGGCTTTGACTCAGCTTAGGGCTTTTCATTATAATTCTCAGCCAATCTTTGGTGGATTTACAGGTTTGTCTTCAACAACGACCTTTTGAGATCCATCCTCCTTGAGGGTTTCTGCTACACCACTGTCATATCCAAAATTTTATTTTTCTTATGAACTAAACATTGAGTGTTTATGATCTCTAAGCCATCATCATCATCATCATCATCATCATCATCATCATCATCATCATCATCATCATCATCATCATCATCAAAATAATAATAGTAAGAGTGTGAAATACATCAATCTTAAAGAAATGAACCTCTATAATGCACAAGAGGCACTTTTTGATTTGAATCACATAAAGAAATGAACTTTTTGATGATATTCTAATATCCTGAGATCAACCTACACAGCAGAATGCATCCTACAAAATCTACAGTCACATTCACCATAATTAAATTAATTCCACTTATCACCGAGCAGCAAACTATCTAGGTGATCACATATTTCAAAGTGACCAAATAAAATTGTTTTGCAGAGTCCTAAATTTCCCGTATACACGATTAGGAGGCAGCTGGGACGGCTGATCCATGACACAGTCTCGATGGTTAGTGTCGCTATGGTGACTTGCTTTTTAACAAATAGCACTGACAATATCAAGTGTCGCTATGGTTGCAGATGAAAATATGTACACTGGCCTTTCTCTCCCTTTTTTTTTATGAGAAACATGAAGAACTGATTTATATCTGTCTCTATGGCAACCCCAGCATATAGGATGGACAGAAAGAGAGGCAGAGAGGAAGAGAGAGAGAGAGAGAGAGAGAGAGAGAGAGAGAGAGAGAGAGAGAGAGAGAGAGAGAGAGATGTATTTTGCAATATCTGAGAGGAATGTGGAGAATACAACACTGCAAGAATGAGGTCCAAATCTGACCTCACTGGAACTCAGGATTTCCAGTAAGTAGAAAGGAAGAGTCCTCAGATCTCATCATATTATCAAACTTATATTGCTAGAAACCAAAAAATTAAACAAATTAAACCCTACCGTAGTACTAAAAGTTTAGCATGTAATGAAATAGATACGAATATTTAATATAAAAACAATGCAGTCCTCCTCGATTGGCCTGTTTCTCTTAAATCTACCGAGCATTCCATAATAGTTCAGTAAATGTAAGAAAACATAAAAGCATACTTTGTACAAAATACATCAGACCATAGTATTGATTTCTTTCATGCATTGCCCTATCTAAGCTAAAGAAACCTTTGCTTATTGCCACTCCTGCTACGCCTCCTGTGACCATCTCTGAGCTCTTCTGTCTAAGCCAGGTGGTGGCACACTTGTCCTAAATCTCACATAGAGCTGTGATTTCACTAATACCCAAAATAAACTACCAAGTATGTTACATTTGTCATCTTTTAGATCAAATCATTGTATTTGTTTTATGCCACAAAGCTGATGTTGGTTCATGTACTAGCAGTCAAACCTTTGTGTGTACATTAGGCAGATAGGAATAAAATTCTCACTGTCTCGTCACCTTAAGTCAAAATATCCCATTACCATGGTAAATACATAAAATGTAAAGTAAGGATGCATAATGTGTTTTGAATCAGAAAAGCAACATTTATTTGACGCTGCCTTTCTCCAAATTCTTCACTTCTTACAGCTGATGTCATCTCCTGCCAATTCAGTACTCTCCTTCACCTCCCATTAACTGGACTTCAGTTTGTATTGTTCAAGCGGAAACTGTTTACCTGGGTAAACCTTGATTCTCCAAGCCTGTTTCACGCCATCAAGTTGTGCTTTACATACAAATTGATTTGTATATTTTAGCGTTGCTGCCAAACATAACTCCCCCTACCCCCAGAGTTTTATCAATTTTTAGGGGATTTTTTTTTTTCAAAATTGTTTATATTTTTTAAAATCTTTATTTTGCACAAAAGGCGCATTAAATGTTGCATGTCAAATTAAGATTCTCATAATCGGTCAAATTGACCAAATCGCTCCTGCACGGGGATAACAGGCTTATCAGTTCCTTTTGATGAATTTTGCCTTAACCCCGCCCATCCCTGCTGTCTTGACAAGAGTGTGCAAAGAGACGAGCGGGAGAAGGTCGACAAATCGAGCCTATCCACGGATTTTTCAGGGCGAGGCGACCGTAGCGGAGCGCGGTGAACGCGGTTTGGCTGCAGGTCTGTTTTTTATAAAGGTTGCATTTTGATAGTAGCTCGTGACTTTACCTCCTATGCTTTCGGTGTGAATGTTGGACATTTTTGGAGGACGGTAATTCAACGTGCTCGCTCCGCTGTCGATATTTTTCTTGTCGTGCATGTTGGCCGGTCTGAACGTGGACACTAGCTGGCGCCTCGTAAACCGCTAGCCGGCTAACTAGCTGCTAGCACGGGAAGTAAAGTCAACACTGCCACGGGCTGTATGAAATCTGGGGGGAAATATACGTTTCTCGTTCAAATTACACCCTCCCAATCTACGGTCATAGTTTATATCAACATTAAAATGCTATTCGTGGAGAGTTATTCACGCAAACTGCTAAATTGTTGCAGACGTTTTTCTTTCTCTGGACAGGACCCATGCAAGCATGACCGGAGCTGCTCTGTAAAGCCAAGGGTAGCATCACGTCCTAGCTGTGTTTATCCAGGCCTCTGTATAAGAGGGACGCTTCTGCAAAAACTGCAAAGTCCTCAGTGGTGGGAAGAGCCTGGTATTATGTGTAGTATGTGTAAGCTGGATACACTCAGTCCCTTTAAGTCTAAAGTCCATGTTCTCCCTCCTGGATTGTTGTTTTATTATAAACAAGCAGGCATTTTTAACATGTAATAGTAGAAAAAACAGGAAAGGTTTAATTAAGCTCGCAGATAAAGATATAATGATGTCCTTCCTGGACAGATTTCTTCCAATTTTCTTTAAAGTATCAGCTGCGAATTCAATTTTGGCTCATTCTAACTTTTTTCTTAGGACAAACGTGACACGTGTTAGTCCTATAGATTTTTAAAAAAAATATTTGAATGAAATATTAAAAATATTTTTATGAAAAAAAAAAGCATCAATAAATGTTCTGTTGGTTGACAAAAGTAGTGTCTTTTGAATACTATAAAAAAGGAAGCACATTTTTCAGGACTTCACTTGCTGATCACCAAAAGTGATGAAGGGAAATTTCTGTTTTAATAATCTGAAAAAGAAACGTGAAACTCCAGCACTCTAAACTGAAGAAAATACATGATGTAATGTTTTAGCAACAATCTGACCACTAGATTTTCTTTTTTTTGCTTCAATCATGTACACGGTTTGGTTAACAAGCACATATTATTTCACTGTCCTAAGCTTATTCTCACTGTTTAGCAGATCCTAGAAGAACCAGTTTGCTTTTCACTGCAGATTCATGACAATGGAAATGAAGGGCGAACAGCAGGACGAAGATATTTCATTCAGCAACACTGACACTAATGGTGAGGTCTTGCATATCTTCATTTTATTATTGCGCATTAGAACTGCCCAAAATAACATCATCATTGAGAAGTATCCAGACCCCACCCGGTCTTAAAGCCAGCATCAGATTTTTAGATTTCCATTGGCCAGTTGATTTGCTGAAGACTAAAATTATATTCATGAGAAAAGAACATTTCTGGCCTGAATAACTTACCATGTGGTCATGTCAGATGGTTGAGAGATCCTCTTGTCCAGGAAACTGCTGTTCTGTGGGCCCAGAGCAGATCTGCCCATGTTTTAATTCAGAAAGGGTACATGTTGGTTCTGGACGTTGACCAAGTTGCATTTGGTGACTGAAGTGTACTTGGTGTTTGTGGAATATGCTGTAGACTTTGCTCATTCGAGGTTTTTGTTTGCTAATATTAATTTGGTTTATTATAGCACTTCCACAGTGAATCAGGAGAACATTCTAACTTATGATTCTTCTAAATAAAAATATTAAAAAGTGAACTAAAAAAAGCTCCTCTTGTATTTCTGTAAGTGCATAATTTCGGAGGTGGCTGCATTGCTTTGGGTTTGACCTTGCCTTCTGTCTCAGGTAAACGTCCTGCTGAGGACATGGACGAGGAGCAGGCCTTCAAACGTTCACGCAACATTGATGAGATGGTGGAGCTGCGTGTTCTGCTTCAGAGCAAAGTAATCAGAGATCATATCATGAGCCCCTGCTATTTGCTGGGCCACATAGTGATTTTATTTATTTATTTTTCTCTCTCTCTCTGTGATCAAAGTGTTTTGCTCTGCTTCACAGAATGCGGGAGCCGTCATTGGAAAGGGTGGCAAGAACATAAAAGCTCTTCGCACAGACGTGAGTAAATAGATAAAAATGTCTTCATATATATTTGCACTCAGCAAACTTTAGCTTTCTTATTCTTCCTTTAGTGCTGATTCTACACAAGTCTTATTCAGCCCATAGAAAAATATTGTCACATTTAGTTGCATTTTTTTTGTCACAAAATTAGATGTATTTACCTGGATTTTTTGTAATTGACCTGTACAAATATGAAGTGGAAAGAAATCCTGAATTAAAATAAAAATCATAAGTGGAAGGATAAATATTCATCAGAAAAGTCAGGAGTGCATTTGTGTTTAGTCTCCTTCACTTTGTTCATAAAGAAAATCCAGTTTAGTTGAAAAGAGAGAGATGCTCTGGTCAGATGGAACCACAAATAACATTTTAACCTCCATAGAAATTCTAGTTCCTGATGAATGCATAAAAAATTGTGAATGTGAAAATATGAGCAATTCCCAGGTGTGACTTGGGTATTTTATTTATTCTTGAGTTTTATATGTTGAAGAACGATTGAAAGTTAGTAGTTTGTACATTCTAGCATCTGGGCTATTATAAAAGCAGCTAAAATGTGTTTGTTGTGTTTAATCATCTGTCATCAAGAATCACTGCACAGTGCTACAAAAAAGCATTACTAAGACCAGAGGGTAGAGGTCGACCGATACAGGATTTTCTATTACTGATAGCAATTTTAAAATGCCGATTGGAGATTTTTGAGACAGTTTATTTTGTTGTGTGACGTTGATTATTTATAATTCTCCCCTTTGTTTTTTTTTTAAACATTTGATCAAAAATTTGCCGTTTTCTTTCACATGTAATCGGTTTAGTGGTAGGCTGATGTTGGCGCCTTAAGTTGGTAGCTTCTTTTTCTCAACTGTAATGCAATTCATATAGGAAAGGAGACGTTTAAAGGTGCCCACTGATTACTGTTTTATTAATTTGCTTAAAACATAACTTGTATGAGTCAAGTTGAGGACCCAAAATAAATGTGCTGAATTTTTCAAGTTTAGTTAAAAAAGGAAAAAGCAAAACAAAACTATACATCTTCCCCCTTTTAAAACAACTCTTCAGGCATTTTTAGCTCAAATTTCCTCTACATAAACCATATCAGAGGAAATAGCATTGATTAGGACTTGCATAATGTGATTGAATGAAACTCAATGCACCAAGCACAATTCCTGTATTTAGTAAAATTTGTCAGGAGCTGAAACATGGTCTCCCCTGCTCTGATCCAAACTACAATCTGCATTTATGGCATCTGTTGTCAGCAACATCTTCAGTCCATACTAATAAGCTTTTTAATAAAAGGTTTTCTACCTTCATAAATAACAGTGGTGCAGTGGACAGAGCACAAGAGTTTGTACAAACGCATTATACACAACAGTAGCATGTGTGGTACCAAGCTAACAGTGTAACAATACAGGAAAACACGTTCTACTTTGTTTAATTGGTCCATATCCAAAGCTGTGAACAAGTTCTGCTGTCATGCCGTCAGTGATGTGCATATGTAGGTAGCAATTACGCATACAGAACCAACACATCGGTTTACAGTTGAAAGAGGAAGTTTACATCCACCTAATAAAGACACACTTTGTTTTTCTCACTGTCTGAAGTTAAATCAGTCAAAACTTCTCTGTTTTTAGTTCATTATTACTAAAACTTTAGATTTGCTAAATGCCCCAATAATAAGAGAAGGAATGTGCCTCTCACATACACACCTTTCCAGATCTGCCCACAACTTCTCCATAGGATTGAGATCAGGGCAAAACATTGACTTTGTCTCAAAGCAACATTGTAACCATATTGTATGCTCAGGGTCATTTTCCATTTACAAGACCCATTTGTGGCTGGAGTTTAACTTCCTGCCCAGTTGTTTTAGATGTTAAGAGAAGTCCGGTCTTGGTTATGATTTAAGTTCAAACAGTGAGGGGGAAAAAAAACTTGTATAACTTTTTTTTTCATTCTGTGTATGTAGACTTCCAGTTTCAACAGTATGCAAACAGAGGCCGTGAACTCTGTCAACTCGCTAATTTGCACAGAAACATGCAAATTGGGTGGCAGCTGCGCCACCTGACATTAAACCAGTAAGATTTTGTATGGGCCGTTCACAACTCGTAAAAGCAAAGTTTTGATTTAGTGACACTCGTTTCTTTAGCCTAAAAAATGGTTTGGTAGCACATAACCTTTCAGTATGAAGGTTTATAGGGATTTAACTTTGAGACCAAATGCTGGTGAGTAGCTACTACAATTTACAATCTGAATGCTTTGCCATGAATCCAAAGGTTATACAGACAGCTTCCTCTAAAAACACATCCTATTTAACTAAATACATATATATAAATATACACAGATTAATAATCATTGTCCTGTGTAACTGCAGCTTATTGACTTACATCACCTTATCAACTCTGTGACAACCAGGCAAAACAAAATAAAAAAAAACAACAAAGTTTGCGCCATCAAGAATGATGAAGATACTTTTAAAACTGGAAAGTTTCAGCCAATTGATCGGTAGGCAGATAATATCGATCAACCTCTACCAGAGAGTCACTGTTAAACTGCTCTGCTTGAGTTATTTTCCCCAAATAATTAAAGCTAATTCTTGATATCGTTTACATTGCTGGGTTTTTTTAAACTGGGAATTCCTAACAGCCCTATTGGAACATCTTTTTTTATTTTTTTTCTCTGCGTTGTTAACTTGACCAATGTGCTCCTTCATACTGCCTGTTAAAACTTATCTTTGTCCTGGTCACACTTCCTGTTCTCCTTCACTCTCACAGTTTCTCTCATATCACGTTTTGGGACAAAGTGTGGCGTGTATTCAATTAAAACTGTATTCCTTCTCCCCCTCTTCCCTTCTCCTTTTACTTGTTTTTGTTCTTACTTTTGGCCACCTTCCTCCGTTGCCCATGTACCGGATCGACATGCCCCTCCTGCGTTGCCCACCTTGATGTTGGCCCAACCTCCGCCCGCCCCCGAATGAAACCCGACCGCTCGGCCATCTGACACTCCCGGTCGGCCCTGCCCATAAACTGTGCCCCTCCTTATTCGGACACCTAACTTGACATGATGTGATTGAATGCCCCTGCCCAATGCCAACCTCCTCCACCACAACCACCATCACCACCACCACCACCACCTCCTCGGTCCATGCAGTACAATGCCAGTGTATCAGTCCCAGACAGCAGTGGCCCAGAGCGGTATGTCCCACCAGTTATTGCCTCACTGCCTGATTAGAACAGTGAAACACTTGTCTTTGATAGCCTGCCTTCTGTTTCCATTTGAACATTTTTATATACATGACACTTTACAACCTCCCCTTCACCAGACACCCCCTCCTTTCTTTATAAGACATGTATTGTTCCTTGATTTTTTCTGTCCATTTTTAAGCATCTCCTATTAAGTTGAACTCTGTTATTACAGTTAATCAATCATGCGGAAATTGTCTGACAGCCCACTACAAAGTAGTTGGTGTTTTATACTCAGCGACATTAAAGTTGGATGGTTTATTTGTTGCTCTGAGAAAATTTGTGAAATGCAGGCATCTTTTTAATATTTTTTTCCCCTTCGCTCTGTCTTCTGTGACCCACCCCTGGTCCCTTCCCCTTACCTCCAACCTCCCACTCTCCTCTGCCCTCACTCTCCCACACTGTTTCCACCATTACCGTCCCATGATCTCTGAGAGAGAAGAGAAAGAGAGCTTGCTTTCCTGTGGAGGCGCCGCCCTTTCACTTTGTCACTTCATTAATGTCTCTTGATTCCATTGTGCTGCATCCACCCCCTCTGTATAATTTCTTAGGTTACATCAGATCAGATCTGCCTATCAAACCTGTCACCTGTCACATCACCCTTCCCTTCTCCAACCTGCTCTTCCTCTGTGCCACAAAGAACTTGGTAACCCCTCCCCAACCCCACTGCTGTTTTAATGTTTTCTACTGCCCACCTCGTCTGCTCTCACCTCGGCGCCTTAGTTCTCTTCCTCTCTCCTTCCCTCTCCCCCCCCTTTCCCAACCTCGTGGTCACAATGAGACGGTGAGCTGGTGGTGCAGCTGTAATGGCAAGCTGTTTTTAAATGACTTTCTCTTTCCCCAACTTCCTGGTGGTGGGATGGTTATAGAAGAAGTTTCTCGCTCTTACACCACTTACCCAAAATCTGTGTGGCCACTTTCACGTTGTTCTTATTTATTTATTTATTTTTTTGAGACGCTCTGGATCCCCTTGTCCTCATAAAGCTTTCTCTTACTTTTGAAATTAGTAAGGGAGTCAGTGCATGTCTTCTGCTGTCAGTGTAGAGTTGGGGGAAATTAAGCACTCGTTTAAAGCGTCTTATTAGTTTGTTCAGGACTGTCTGTCGGGCTGTATTTTATGTCAGGTTTATCCCTCCGTTTTTCGGCGTTTGTTTTTGTAATTCATTTATTCCTGTTTGCCGAATTGGTTTCTGACAGGATCCTGAGTGTAAGTGCCAGTATCGACACCATTGGAGAGATTCTACTGAAAATCATCCCAACACTAGAGGAGGTAAGATGTTATGTCAGTTTTGTGTGTAAATAAATGGTGGTATTGTTTTAGCTTCCAGAGATTAACCCATTGTCTTTATTAAAATAAATAGTAATTTGATATTAATTATTTTCAAGCTAAATGTTTATTCAAATAAGTGAATATAAATTTGGAAAAATTGTAATGTAGTAAGGCAGTAATTTGCATCAAATAACTTTTCTATGTATTTCAAAGACATATTTTTCCACAACTGCTACATTAATATCTAATCACCCAGAACTTTGCTTTTGTTCTAATGTTTTTCTAGTACCAACATTACAGTGGGATTGATTTTGACTGTGAGCTTCGCCTGCTGATCCATCAGAGTTTGGCTGGTGGGATAATTGGAGTGAAAGGTGCCAAGATAAAGGAGCTCAGAGAGGTAGGATAGCCCAGATTAACCATTTAATCCTCTGCACTAACAGCTGAACAGTAAAAACAAAAAAAGACAACTCTTTAACTTTGGAAATGTGTTCACATCGGTCCTCCTACAAACTAATCTGAAAAGACATTTTGTTTGCTACTGCTCAGACACGTTTTGGTGCATTTTTCCATTTCGTTAGGAAAGTTTTTTTGGACTGTGTGGACTCAGAATACGAATGTGAGAAACTAAGGAAAAAAAAAACTTTGTGTGTACTAGAATACCCAGACCACCATCAAGTTGTTCCAAGAGTGCTGTCCCCACTCTACTGACAGGGTTGTCTTAGTGGGAGGAAAACCAGAACGTGTGGTTGAATGCATAAAAGTGATCCTGGAGCTAGTATCAGAGGTAAATCTACCCTCTCAATTGCTATAAATACAGTAAAAATAATTAATACCAACACATCTTGACTTAAAGAACATTGCATTTATTTTAAATGCAGTGTACTCCAAAGTTGATTAATAATTTCCCTGTAACTTTTCTTCAATTTGCAGGCACCGATTAAAGGCCGTACTCAGCCTTACGACCCTAACTTCTACGATGAGACGTATGACTACGGTGGCTTCACCATGTTGTTTGAGGATAGGGGCCGACGACCTATGGGTGGATTTCCCATCCGCGTGCGCGGCGGTTTTGAACGCTTGCCTCCTTTACGTGGCAGCAGACCTCTGCCTCCCTCCAGAAGAGACTATGATGACATGAGCCCTCGCCGGGGTCCTCCACCACCGCTTAGCAGGGGCATACGAGGGGGCAGCCGAGCGCGCAACCTGCCTCTCCCACCACCCCCGCCGCCAAGAGGAGGGTGAGAATTGGGCGGATTTTATGTTTTCAACCCTAATTTGTTAGGTTTTAAATTGTTTTGGATGAATTTGCTTACTTGACTGATTTTGGCAGTTTTTACTGTAGATAATTAATTTATATGTCAAAGGTTTGTTTTGGAAATTGAAAGACTACTATTTAGTAACCAGTAACATCTGTTCAGTCTTAATTATTTTACATCTCTACCTCACATCCATCAGTTTTTTTTTTCTTTTATTGTTTGCAGAGGAGACAGGTTTTCACATGGCAGCTATCATGGCAGCATGGATGACAGACCAAGGTGAGAAAGACCAAGGTTAAGATTTAAATTTATTTTTAAAGCTTAACAGAATTTAGAAAAGAGCACATCTGTGATTTAAAAATGCCCATTTTTTCTCCAATAAATCAACCAATGTCACTCAATGTCACTGCTTGCTTGGAACCAGATCTTTTCACTTCCAGTGACTGTTTCAACGTCTCCTGCTTCTTATGGAAATTTAGTTTTAATTGCTGTTTTCGACTGTATTTATGAATGCCGTTTGTGGCAGTATCAGATGTTTGAGTATTCACTGCTGCTGCTTGGAAATCATTCTTGAAACGTTGTGTATATTTAGAAATGTCATTCGGAAATCAGATATTTTTGCTAAATTTTCAATGTTTGGAAATGCTGACTCGTTTTAGCGAGCATTTGTTACACTTCTTATGAAATTTCGAATAACAATTCCCTTAGAGGTTTGTGTTCATTCATTAATTGTGAGTTCATCCATCCATCCAGGCACCATTAGTCCATACATCCATTCTGTAGAGAGGTCTGACTGCTGTGTAAATATAAAAAAAATCAATGTGAACTTTGTGATTTAATAATTTCCCCAAAAATTGTAAACCTGGCCATTTATAGTGGGTGCAATGTCCCCATGCACTGCAATGCTTTTATTCAGAATAAAACAGAAATATAATGTGCAAAAACCAACCAGTTAACACTTCATCTTTGTTAAATATAAAGGAGAAACACACACGGTCTTGGTCAGACACTGGAGCACTTTGGTGGAAAAACCCCTGATGGGTCAAACTGTATTAACAACTTTGTTTCCCCCTGTTTTGCAGCGAAAGAAGAGGCAGAGACCGCTATGACAGCATGGTGAGTGTAATCAGCTGCAGCGTCTAGACTCGCTTGCTTTTTTTTGTTTCCTCACAAGACTTTGTGGTCTCTGCCTGTGAGTTGTGTTTTCAGATGATGATTGCATTTCCTTTTCTGAGTGTAGTACAGCACACTGGCTCTGATATGGCTGCCCCCCCCCCCCCCCCCCCCCCCACATCGGATGCACACTCATGTAGACCTGTTGTTGCCTGGCAACAGTTGTCTCCGTGGTTACCACTGAGTAACTGAGTACGCAGTCCAGAGATCCACCAGGCGAGCCGAGCGATTGAACCAGAGCAGATCTTGAAGTGGTTCCCCGCAGGTTTTAACTGCAAGCAAAAGAGGGCAGATGAATAAAAAGGGACGACTCTTGAGATTTAAATATTATTAAAAACTGCAGACTTGCTTCTAGTTGTCTCAGCATTAATACAGATTCGAGGATTTGGATTATCGTGCAATACAAGTTAGGTTAGTGCTGGTCGCTTGTTAATCTGTCTTTGTCTTTGAAACACAAATCGGTGTTGAATTTGTCAAGTTTACGTCCTAATATGAGTAAAATTTGTGTGCATTACTGTCTATGCATTTATCAGCCTCCCAGACATACACTGGTTGGATAAGACAACTTTTAAAAGTTATCTTATACCTGTTTTTTTTGTTTCATGACCGTCTTGAACTCAGATTAGCTTTTATTAAACATGCTTGATTCCAGCTGTGCATTTGCGAAGTATTGTCTATTGTCTTCAGATGTATAACAATGACTTTGGACAATAAAGAGAGGTAAAAAAAAAATGGTATAACCCTAGTGAGACATCAAAAAGTTTGTCTACACCTATATTGATTGGTTATATAATGCATATGTGTATTTAGTTTATAATCTGTTATTTCTGAAGGCTTAAAATGTATTCTTATTCCTTATTAATGTTTGTAAATTTCATCTCTTTCTCTCCTTTCATGTGATCCTGAAATTTAGAGTGGAGGTGGTTATGGTAAGTTTTGATATTCATGATAATCCTGCAGTTTTATTTGTCTAAACAGCGGTAATTATTACCTTTTTACACACACTTTGGCCTTGAAATGGCTAGAGAAAGTTAGTTTTTTGGCTCCACAAGTTTACACACTTTGAAGTACCAAGATGTTTTTTTTTGTTCAACAAAGCAAGAGCAAACATTTCAGTGACAATCTTAAGATCTTCTGGACTTGAAGTTGAGTTTCATGTTCAGTTTGACTCTTTTTATTATTATTATCATGATTTTATTTTATCACACATATATTAAGCTCAAACATTCATACCTCTAGAAGATTAAAAATATTTGTCATTAAGCAAATAAGTTTGTTTCTAACAGGAAATGACAACTTCCAAACTTCTTCAACTTTATCAACTTGCAGATTATTGCCGTCTTCAAACAAAACACAAATACAAAGGCACCAAAATCAAGCTAAAGAAGAAACAACAGAAAAGAGTGGGAGTTACTAGGCTGAAGGGTTGAATGTTGTATTTTCTGATGAATGTTGTATACGTCTGTTTCAAATATTTAGTTTAAATGTCAAGATGAAAAACAAGGAAATTTTCTCAAGGATCATGCAGCAGAGTGTGGGAATCCTTTTTTTTCTTTTATGTTACATTTTTGTAGGTTTAAGTTCAGCTCCTGAAAAATTTAGACTTTGGAAACAGCACCCAGTGCTTAGTGCTGATGCCTGAAATTTGTATCTGTTGTCCATATCCACATTTTTTTTTTTTAAATAAATTAAGCTTAAGAAACGGGTTCTACCTGTTGATGTTTTTACACTTTCATTATTTCCTCTTGAGTGGCATTTAGATTTTTAAACCCAGTACAGCTAATTGATTCCCAGCAACTGGTTTGGGAAGTAGTTTAAATGGAGAGGAAAAAACAGCTGAATTAAAAAAAACAAGGGCTAATTCTGTATTGCTGAAAACCCTTCCGGCTGCCTCATTAGTCACTTGTTGTAGTATTAGTAGAAATTTTAGTTGCACCACTGAGCAATTTCTTTAAATATTTATTTACCTTTAATATTGTGAAAGTGTGAATTAGTTAAACTCAGTAGATAAAAAAAAAAAAGACAATTGGTATTAATTTACACGGCACAATTTCAACTGTAATTTTACTACTTACTATGAAAGGACAAACTTGGACCAACAAAGCTTAGTATTTCTTTTTCTATACATCACCATCGCTGGCGTTTTGGCCATTTGGGCAGTACTGCTCAGTTGCTGTGGCATGATGCATTTCCTTTCCTCTTCCTGTGGTGTATTTTCATTTTCCATTTTCTGTTTTTCCTTTTTTAATGTTCTTTTTCAAAGACAGCCATTCTTCCTGGGAGCGCTTTCCATCTGGTGAGTTGGGATAGATCGTTACTGTCCCTGAGCCTTGTTTCCTAACCTAAAGGGTTTGCTTGTTCTGCTTGTTCTGGATCCCAAGCCCCATTTAAAGAAAGATTTCCTCCAAAGGTCTTTTCCTCTCTCCGTAGGTGGCAGAGGATCATACAGTGACATCGGAGGCCCGGTCATCACGACGCAAGTCACCATCCCAAAAGATGTAAGTAGAACATGATTAGTGCAGTACCCGACGAGACAAATTAAATGCCTTTGGCGCTCCTAAATCTGTTTTCCTTTTTGCCGACGTGCAGCTGGCGGGCTCCATCATCGGGAAGGGCGGCCAGAGAATCAAGCAGATCCGCCACGAGTCTGGGGCATCCATCAAGATTGATGAACCACTAGAGGGCTCTGAGGACCGCATCATCACCATCACAGGGACACAGGACCAGATCCAGAACGCCCAGTACTTACTGCAGAACAGGCATGTGACTTCAAGCAAAACAACGTCCTCCCACTGCAGCTGAGACGCTTCTTTTCATGTAGAACCAGTACAATAAAAAGTTATTGGTTTAATACAGTAGTTTGTGATTTACAGTAAAATGAAGATTGTATTCTTTGTTTGGATAATTGGTATCTCTTTTAAATTCTGAAAATTACTTATTGGTTCAAACTAGTTAACCTTAAGGAAGACATTTACTGAATATACAGTATTCTGGTCTCTGAGCTAATTTGGGGCATGAAATATACAAAATCTTATCATTTCAGTCAGTAATTTGATTACTTGGTAGTACGTGTGTGTGTGTGTTTACTTCCTTTCCTCCTCATCGCTCCACGATTGAGCAGGTCTGAGTTGGCGTGTCAGTTCCAGCAGACAGGATTTATTTCCAGCCTTGACCTTGGTATTCTTATTACAACTTGAGCTCCATGTGAAGAATGTCTCGCTGTTTTCAGCATCCACTATTTTACAGCTGCCCAACCCGACTTGGGTCGTGCCGCTGCTCTTATAAATATGTTCCGGTGTTTTTAATTTTTTCATTATTTTTTTATTTTCTTCGTTTCAGTGTGAGGCAGTACTCCGGTCGGTTCTTCTAGAGGGAAGCGGATGAGAGGGTGAAGCCATGCTGCCATACTGTTTTGCTCATTCTATTCAGAGCCAACATTCCTCTGCTTTGGGTAGATGTGTCCCTTCCCTTTAACTGTCTCCAGCTACACCACCGTTGTGTACACCAGGTTTTATTTGGAGGCCTGAAAAATCCATAATTCAGTGCTGGTATCTTCTTTTCTTTTTATCCACTGGTGTGTAACCCATCTGTGTGATTAGGTTTGGTGTTGTGAACCGGCCCTAGGCCTTATCTTCCGCATTTCAGTACAGCAAGCAGAATGTACTTTCTTTTCTGTTCTTGTTTGAAAGATATTTTTATGATTTCCTTCAAATTTTAAGACCACTTTCCTAACAAAGATGACTAGTTTTTGAATGGTTGAGAAACTATTGGAGTAAAGTTAAATAACTGTTTAATTTCAATTTTCCATCGCTTGTCTCCATATGTAAAAAGTGTTTGGGTTTTTTTGGGGTTTTTTTAGATGATGGTTGAGGGGTTTGGGAGAGTATTTATTTTGGAACAGCGGAAATCAATAGTCTTCTCAAATTCACAGAGAGCAAAACTTCGGTTAGGAGTGTGTGGGCCCTTTGTTCTGTATAAGCATGGATGTGCTGTTCGGCGTCAGTCTTTGAATTAATAAGCAATGTGGGCTTAAAAATTTTAAACCCCAGAAAGCTCATTTATACACCCCACTACACACACTAAGATTACCTTGTGTGAAAATGTCACAATGAAAAAATATGTGATTTGATCTGCCTTTATTAAAAACAAAGACAAAAAAAACCCTTTTTTTTCTTAGCTTTTGCTAAAATAGTATGCAGGATACCATCACATTTTTATAAACATTGGCTAAGTATTTTTTTAAATTCTTCCATATTTTGTAAGGGCAACATGCCTTACAAAATAAGCCTTTTTTTCAGCCAGCTCTCCGGCAGTGTGCAACAAATAGAGAAGAGGCAGAAAAAAAATTCAAACATTCAACCACAGGAACAGTTATCCATGTAGGTCCATGTCTATCACAAAAAATGTAAAGAAGACTATCTGATTAGTCTTGCTGGAAGGGTTTACACTGTGGACGCCTTAATTTAATTTTTTTTTTAGCAGATCAGTCTAGTCCAATGCTTTTTGGTAATGACACCTTTGTCAAATATGTCTTCTGTCTGAAGGTGTAATAAATGTGAAAGACTGTTAAGGCAAAAGAAAAAATGTAAGAAAATCTACTTTTATTTGAAAGATGATTGTACAATTTGTATATATATATATCTGCTTAAAACCTGTGATTTTATGGACTTTTGGTTCGGCCCAAACTGTGTGATGTTTTCTTGGAAGAAAAAAAGTGCCAAAAACAGACTTACAAGTTTTCCTCTTTGCTACGGTGGCCCTTTTGTGCCAAACATAACAAAAATAAACATTCTCTAAAATCACTAGCTTTTCAATATTAAAGCTATTGAAAACACTGCATTTTAAAAATATGAGATGATATAATAAAAATGTCAGAAGAAGACTGAAAAAAAGAATTATAAATACAAAGTGTGCCTGTTTGGCCATTTTGTTCCTGCACTTTTGGTCGTATTGTTTCATGACTTTCTGCAATATCCAAAAAAACACAAACAAAACTAAATGATGCTTATGTGCGTGGGGATGAAACGGGTTAGAAGGGATGTAAAGTTACACAATTGGTGAAGGGACAAATAAATCCAGTTACTTGTAAATGTATTTCTTATTAAATCTTTCCTACGCGTTTCCTGATTACGGAATTATATTTTGAATCTTTTACTGTAAGAAAAATGTACACAATCAACTTTTTCATCAATATCGGGCTTTCTGTTACTATAAAGTATGGATTTGCTGTTGTGTAGCCACAGTCTCTGATCTGTTCACTCCTGAACTTTTTTGTTTTATTTTTGGAAATTTTTTTTTAAGTATCCCTGAAGATGCAGGTCTCTGTGTGAGGCGGATGCAGATTTGCGAGTCCACAAGTGATCAATTCTGTATGTGCTCTCAAGATATTTGTAGTAACTCCAAGTGTTTAGTAAATAAAGTCTGTGTCACAGCTCTGAGCTCGTGTGTGTGTGTGTGTGTTTGTTTGTTTGTTTCTTTGGGGGGAGCACGGTGTACGGAAGGAGATGCATTATGATAAAAGGTGAGGCGTCTGCCTCTTTCTCCATAAGTGCATCCGTTGCTATCTGGCACGCACCGGAAATGTGTTCTCCTATAATGTAATATTGAGAGCCCACACGGTTTCCCATCACAGCACAGCCCTCTGTCACATGGTTCACAGTTAGTTGGGTTTCATCCAAGATATCAGCAAGTCGGGACCTGAACGGCAGCTACTGAAAATTCAGAAACCGAGAAAGGTGGATATTGTTTTTATATATATATATGTAGGCTATTCCACAATCTGTTTTTCTTTCTCTTTCAAAACGCTTTGAAGAGGAGGGGGAGAGAAATCCAGCATAATAAGCCCGCCACGCCCGGAGCTCTGCTGTGGGGTTCGTAAAGACTCGCGACGCAAAACTTGTTACACAAACTTATGTTTCCTCTTCGCTAGAGAGAGAGAGAGAGGAACTTAACAGTTGTTCTCGCCACTTCCTCAAATAGCCGTGCTCTTGCTTCCAGGTCAGAATATGAGCATTTTGAAGTGACTTAAATGAGTCTAAAATAGTGCAGATTTAAAGGCGCGCTCCGCTCCTCACTTCTTGCTGCGCGTGTCTCTGCCATGTAAAGGTGACGCGTTCTCCCGGAGCAATGACGCTGAGCTCCATGGGGACCTGCTGCCTCAGTCCAGAGGCCAAAGAAGCTCGGAGGATCAACGCTGAGATTGAGAAGCAGCTCCGCAAGGACAAGAAGGATTCCCAACGCGAGTATAAGCTGCTGCTGCTGGGTGAGGGACGAAAATCGCGGTCTGTCTGTCTGTCTGTCTGTCTGTCTAATAACCTCTGGCTATTAACATGTGATTAGGAGGAAGGAGACACATTCACCAGTTCCCCTCCCCGTCCCCTCAAAGTTTCATTAGGCTTACTGGTTTATTGTGAAAACACTGCTTTTTATTTAGTATTTGTACGAGATAACTCAGGGTTTTCACATTTGTATTTCATAGGTATTCCTCATGCAACCACAACCGCGCCATTGTGTGATTTGGCATGTAAATTGCACCAAAACTCCCAAGTGCCCGTTCGCTATTAATTTGTATAAAAGGGAGTGCAGTAAAAGTCCAGAAATGATCACTTGAGTCTTACACATTCACTTTAAAATGAGCAAATAAACTGCTCCACGTTTCACAACATTCAATCAAATGCAGATGGTAAACACTGACTGCTGAGGGAAAACTGCTTTAAAGTTTTACTGTGCTGTTTGTAGGTTCAGTTACATCAAAGTCTGAGGCTGATCCAAGGTGGAAAACAAAACAAATAAAAAAAATCATAAACCAACCACTTTCATGATTGCTTGTTAATGAAAAATTAAGCAATAATCAGCCAATCAACAGCTCAGTACTCTGATGAATCGAGATGAGGTGAAGAAGACTTGACGGATTGTGCATAAGAATCCGGAAGAAAGGGGATTTAGTTGACTTTGAACGTGTTTCAAAGTCAACTAAAGTAAAGACCACAGGCAGCATTATGGTTTTAAGATGTATCTTTTCTCCTTCCTTCTCACGTGCAAAATATCTCTCGTCTTTATGTGGTCCATAAAAAAAAAAAAATCATCAAAACAGCAGTTGTGTGGACTAAGATGTCTTGATATGACATGTCAGAGCAGTTCTAGAGGCACAGAAGTCACATTAGATCCAGGGAACACATACCATCTCTTAACCTTGTAACAGCTGGGCTAAGGAGGCGGTACCGGTACGCCATCACTGTCAGTTAACAACAGGAAGCTGAAGCAACAATTTACACAGGCTGTCTGTGTAAATTGTTGGTATTGCAGTCTGCAACACACCCTGGACAATACCAGATTGGAAGAACGTTTGATTTTATCTCAATTTCGGGTTTAGCGTCAGAATATGGGGTAAACACGAGAGCAGTGGATCCTGCATCCAGGGGTTAGACTGGTGTTATGGTGTGGAGGATGTTTTCTTGGAACATTTTAGGCGCCTCGGTACCATCTGAGTATCGTTTAAACATCACAACAGTATTTATGCGCTCTTTGTGAAGCACTTAGTGGTTGTTATATTTAGGAACTGCCATATAAATAACATTCACTTGCTTACTTAGAGTGTACCTGTTTGCTGGAGGATACGTGTAGCAGTATAACACGCCGTGTTACAAAGCTCAGAGCACTTCAGACTGTTACAAAAAGGCCATCGCAGTCACTAAATCTAAATCCAATAAAAACATTGCTGTGATAGTGTCGGAACAGGACATTCGCATTACGGTTGTGCAGCTGACAAATCTGGACCAGCTGTGTGACGCTATCATGTCAACATAATATTCTCTGAGGAATGTTTCAGACACTTTACTCAGTCTTTGGCGGCTGTAATCTTTCCAAAGAACCAAATCAGTAATGCTGTGAACATGCCGAAAGGCATTTCGCAAAGACTGACTCATGCAGGATCTGTTCCCGTTACTTCAAATTCAGGAGAGAGCATGATTTTGAGGAAGTCTTGCCTTGATTAGATGTCATCGACATTACTGTTACACTTTGACTGACCATTTATGTGCTGGTCAAAAGTTTGATCTGTAAATTTAGACCGGTCAGCTCCAAATGCAAAGAGCTGCTTCTTCAAGATTTCACAATGATCTCGGCAATGCCTTCATAGTGTGAACAAACAAAGGAAGTAATGCTTGGGAAACAAATACAACCAAAATGAATGTGTTTAAGGTAAAGAGTTTCATAATACCGTTTAGAAGCAAAACTTCTTGTTTTTGTAAAGTAAAGACCACAGGCGGCATTATGGTTTTAAGATGTCTCTTTTCTGCTTCCTTCTTACGAGTGTGTGAAAATTTACCAAGTTTTAAAATGAGATGATCTTGTTTCCATTGCTTCTGTTGGTGGCCAGGAACTGGTGAAAGTGGGAAGAGTACTTTCATCAAACAGATGAGGATCATCCACGGCCGTGGATACTCTGAGGAGGACAGGAGAGGCTTCACCGGACTGATTTATGAGAACATCTTCACAGCAATGCAGGCCATGATCCAAGCCATGAGCACATTACAGATCTCTTACAAGTATAAGCACAACCAGGTAGGCCTGACAGCTTTTTCTTCCTTTCTTTTTTCCTTCTTTGTTTCATTGTCGCTTGAGTCAGACAAAGTGAGAAAAGAGGGTTTACTCCACACCACTTCAGAGAGGTATTCGCAAGGTTTACTTACAGAGCATGCAAGAGGCGTATTGCAGTCTGCAACACACCCCGGAAAAGCACTTCTGGTAATTTTCAACAGTGTTTAGGCTTGCAATGTTACTGCCAGCGGATTTTGTCTGACTGCAGAGCAGGCTGTCTCTCAGATGAACGCATGGTGGAACACGGCAGGCCCGCTAAAGGCAGACAATTCCCTATTAATCCCACAGGAATTTGCACCTGTCACGCCGATGACAGGAGCACATTAGTCTCTTAAATTTGCTGGCTCACAGAAGTATACAACAGTTAAAAACAGCGAGAGTTTCAGGTTGGGACGAGAGGCAGACACAAGGCGTTGAGTCTGAGTCAGCTTTTGACTTATAAGGGGATGGAGATCTGTGGCGGCTCAGAGGACTGAGGATGAATTTTCAGCCCAGGTATAACATATTATTCTAAATGTGATGATGGTGAAAAGTAAGTAAGCTCAATCACAACCACAGTCAAATTGGAGTGAATTCAACATAAAAACAGAATTGCTTGTAGAGACATTAATTGGGTATTCAAACTGTTGCCGGAGGGATGACCTCCTGTGCTGCTCTTTGTTTTTGTGCTGTCGAATAAATGTCTGACTGAACGCATGCTTCTGTCCAACTTCTCTTTTATCTGTGCAGTGCAGAAGATGTGCGGCAGTTTCCACTCCACTTTAGCAGCCTGCTCAACATTTATTTTTCTTCTATTAGCTATAGAGACTCAAACATTGTTTCTAGTAGAGAGGGAGAGAGAGCGACAGAGACACTCTTTTATGATCTACATTTGATTATTTGAGTCTCTGGTTCTGTTGTCGTTGCCTTAATTTATTCTTTTTTTTCCGATAAAGCTGAAGATTAGATAGCTGCTACCACTTCATGCCTCAAAGCGGTTTAACTGTACCTTGCAATGGACACACTCTGCAATGTTCTGGGTTTATCTGTGGACAACAGGACTCTGTGTACAGAATGTGTGCCCATCATACAGGAAGCTGTCAAAGGGAGACTAATAGGGCTGTTGCATTAATTACATGATCCATTTATCATGTAATACCTCAGCGCCTTGCAGAGGTATTTACACTCTTTGTGGCTTTTGCATTTTGCTACAGCACAACCACAATCTTTCAGGTATTTGCTTGTGATTCCATGCGATAGAGCAATACAAATTGTGAAGTAAATAAAAAATTTTAAATGAATAAAATACTAGAAATACGATGCGGATTGCACTCACTTACTTTTACTTTTTATTTATTTATGGTATGTTTATGTATTTTGGCTTTTTAAAATGTCCACAGTATTATCGCAGTGATTTCTTGGACTATTAATCAAAGCATATTTGTGCCTTACAATGGTGCAGTCAAAGTCCAGATGTAGCTCCAGTTGAAAATCTGTGGCCAGAGACACTTGTCTTTCAGTCTGACAGTGCTTGAGGTATTTAGCAAAGACAAACACACAAAATGTTTCTGGATGTGCAATGTTGTTATAAACAAACACCAACCATATTCACTTCTGTAATTGTATTAGCAGGTGTTTTACAAAGTTTTGGCTCAGATTGGCTGATAAAAACACAGGTTACAGTTTTGTCAGATTTTTATTGCTTAAAAAGTTAAAGATATATCTTTTTTTCCCTCTTCACACATATGCACTACTTTGTTTTTGTCTGTCTCATAAAACCCAGGCGGATACCACAGAAGTTGATGGTTGTAGCATGGAAAAATGCATAATGTTTCAAGGTGTGTGAATACTTTTTGCAAGG